ATTTTCTCATTCACCAAGTATTACTCTAACAGCTTTTTCTGAAAATAATTTTTGAACCAGTGTTTGAAAAATGCTGAAAGTATAACTGTTTCTAAAATATTTTGTTACCAATTATTTAAAAAACAATGCATTGGTCTAAGTTATTAGGCTTAAAGAAGTTTCAGTGGCTGATGCTTTTATCTTGAATTGAAAGTCTAAATCATTAAATAAACACATAATGTAGTTGCCATGCACTGATTCTCCCTGGGTCACTGCAGCATTCATGTTAGAAAATTTTTGCTTTGAGTTTTTTAGAGACGCAAACTTGCTCCAATGTAAATTCATTGTTTTGGATTGCATTGGTGGCATATGAGATTGGAAGAACTCATATGGATCAATTAAACCTTCAGGAATCATAGAATCATAGAATTGCTCAGGTTGGAAATGATCATCAAGTCCAAGGGCAACCTAACCATACTACCCTAACTCTAACAACCCTCCACTAAATCATGTCATGAACATGGAACAGACATTTAAGTCAGAAACACTGTGGATCTTCCACAGGTACAACATATTACAAAACCTTGCTAGTGCTCTTTAAGTTCTGCTGTGCTAAAAACAAACAACCAAGCAAAAAAATGCACAACTATAAACTGCTACAGATGATAGGAAAAATATGTTGTAAATTCCAGGGATGGGAAGGAGTTCTGGTAGGTAAAGTTCCGAGCTGATACTAGGAAGAGGACCACTACAAAACGAAAGAAGTCCTACATAAAATGACCAAGCAAATAACTCTTTGTGACTCTAAATCTGGTGACTAAAGATGAGAAGACGATGGCATGCTGATCTGTCAGTGGTGCTACCAGGAGAACCAAGCCATATTGTCCCTGCTGTCTATACCCCTTCTAGAGAAAGTAATAATGAAATGCAACCAGAAGCCAAGTAATTCCCGGGAAAGGGAAAAAAAAAACACCTTTATTCTGCTGCACAATTAAATCCACTGAAGCACAGAACTTAAATGGCTCAAAATTGTGCAGAGAAAATCCTGCAGCCCAGTCTTTTTTGAAAGTTTCCAGAAAAAAAATGGGCATCTCTCTCACAGGTAAAGATTCACTTCACAAGTTAAATTCTGTTCTGAATTTTCATATTTTTCATATTTTCATATTTTTCAAAGCTTGGCAATGCTTTTCTGGGCTTCTCAAGAACCAAATGCAGTTTTTTTAAATTTTGCTAAGCTGGTTTATTTTATAATATTATATATTTTAAGGGGAAAACAGCAGTGATGTATGTAGGTTGCTCTGAAAGTAATGCCTCCTATTTATTTGCATGGAAACAACAGATACAAAGCACAATAACACTACTTGAGGGAGCAGATTTTTAGCTACAAAACACTGCTTTTCAACATAGTCATCACCAGTAACCATGCATTTACTCCAGCAATGAATGGAAGCCTGCATGCTTCACTCATAAAAATCTGCACCAGTGGAGGTGGCCCACTGTTTCACAGCTCCTATGATAGCACTCTTGCTAGGAAAATACTGCCCACATAGTCCATCTTTCATTGGCCCAAACAGATGGACATCAGAAAGCACCAAGTCTGGACTACATGGTAGGTCTATTAGAACAGTCCAGCTACATTTGGCAATTTGCTCCACAGTCTTGAAACTGATACAGGGCCTTGTATTATCATGTCACAAGAGAAAGGTTGTCTTCTCTGGCCTGACTTCAAATTAGTCAGTGTAGCGATGTAGCAATCAGAATTGCTGGTTTGTCCAGGTTCCTGAAAATCCAGAAGGATTGCCCCTTTCCTATCCCAAAGGTCAGCACACATCACTTACCCCACTGAGGGCTGCATCTTGAACTTCTCCTTTCATGAGAAATTCATGTCACCACTCCATGGACTGCTGTTCTGACTCAGGCTCATAATGGTGACACCACATCTCATTACTGGTTACGATGCAATCCAGGAAATTGTCAGCTTTGTACTGATTCACAAGCTCCTGACAAACTTGCATACGGTGTTCCTTCTGTTCCTTTATGGGACCCACATCATGCAAAATTTGCAATATTTCAACATTGCCACCATCATTTCCAATGCACTGAAGACAATACTCAGCTCCATCTGCTGTGGATGAGCTGAATCAAGACAGTCTTCATTCTGTAGTATAACAGTTATGTGTGGCTGTCCAGACCATGGTTTGTCTTTCATGGCACTGGTGCCGATGCTGAAATGCACCTCCCATCACCTCACTGTGCTCATATCCACTGTTTGGTCTCTACAAACATTCAGCAAGCATCAGTAAATGTCAATGGATGCCATGTTTTTCCACGTGGAGGAATTCAATGGCACACTTTTCCCTCACACACACTTCCATGTCAGACACCATTTGGCAGACTGCCTCTCTGCTGCCATTTGTCAGACACCAACAACACATCATGGGATACTGGTGGGAAGGTTCAACCTCCGCTGCCATACCATCACAGTCTGCCTCTGACGTCCTGGGCCAACATAATAAAATATGAGACATCGCTTTCAGGGCGGCCCTTGTACAATGTCAGTCAGTCAAATGGCTTGAAGTACATTTTCATAAAAATTTGAATTCATTTTGTGTTTCTCACTGAAATATAACTTGCTGAGATTGAATTTATAAAACAGTATCTATGCTTTGTTACACTACTAATTAAAAAAAATCCTCCAAAAATTCATGGGCAAATTCTTGTTCAATTGCACTGTTACAAACCCCAGAACTAATCTCAAGAAAGGTGAGTTAACATAGTTTACACAGCCATTTGCCTTTGTTTTAAATTTTTGCATGTTATGAGCTTACGTTTTTGTTACTGCGTTTATCTGATTCTGTCCCATTGATTATATCTCCTAGCGTGCTCTTACGTAAAAATACAAAACTGACATAACTAATAAGATACAGATAAATATTTGATGCACATAATACTCATCATAGTTCAAGAACTATGTATGTCTTCTCCCTTTTCAGCACTAATGATCGGCCCCGACAGCATATGATGCATACTACTGAATAAACCGGGATAAGAACAGTTTTGTTTTTCAAAATCAAGTGGTCTGTCATGGCTTGCATATGCACAGAAATGAGCATTGAAAAGTTTGACTGTTGAAGCAACACATGGGAGAGGCCCTCAGCCCATGTGAACCCCAATAGTACCTTGGGTTACTACATATTGGCCTAACCCAAATCATGCCAAGAGCTATATGCACGACATAAGAGTATGGATGATCACTTGCTAATTCTCAGGGCTCTTCTCTGGGCCTGTTCAGTTTATATTGTGGACACTGCCTGTGGCTTGGTCCAATTCCATTACGTCAACAAAGTCAATGTGGTCGCTCCTGTAAGTGTTAGACTTGGCCTTAGGCACATAATTTTATTAACATCCAGAAAATTACAACATAAGCAAAAATAACCCCAAAGAAAAACAAAAAAATAGAAACTTGAAAATGAAACATATGCTTGCAGATTCAGTGCAAAAGCAAACTGAAGCAGAAGTTGCTAATATGGTTTTAGTACTTTGTGAAGGTGCCAGCTGGATGGATGATAATTTTTCTACCCCTGCAGGGCATCAAAGCTTTTATAAAATCATTCTTTTCACACATATTAGCACTTAGCTTATTAAAACAGATGATACTTTTTTTTTTTTTTCTTTTTTTTCCTTAAAGCTGACTGGAAGTGTCTGGAAATATAAAATCTGAGAGATAAATCTCATTTTGACCACCCAGTCTAACAAACAACAAACACTGACATGACATACCATGGCTGAGAGTCTATGTTATGGGACCTTCTGTAACTGCCACAACTGTAGTGTCACAGTAAAGGCTGTGAATTGCTGTTATGAAAACATTTGCTGTAACTTGCATAATTAAATGAAACTGCCAGCAAAGCTTTCTAAAATACTTAGAAGATGACACACAAATAAATACATTTCAAAGTGTGTATTATGTTCCAGAATTTGTTTTGCAATGGATTGCACTGCACAGTGTCAAAGATGACTTATTTTGCTGCTTGATTTCCTACATAATAATATCATTGTCAAGTAAATTGATACAAGTTTATAATAAAATAACTTTCAATTTAATGATATTTTAAATGTATGGCGTTTTGAATTTATTAAAAAGTAGAAGATACAATTTCAGCCACCTACAAATTCTGCTTCAGGCAAATCAGAAAAGGAGACACTAGACATAAATTAGTGCTCATTAGCAGAAATGTATCTAAGAATGTTGCAAATGGCCTTTTAGGACAGCCTTGAAGAAAGAAAATTTTGATAGAGTAGGTGATCGTTCCTAATGCAAAGGGAACACATCAACACTGAGGCACGGCTAGAGAGAAGCTGCAGAAGCTGCTATAGGAGCTGATTTTGTGCCAAAATACAGGCTGGCTAACTATGTGCGAGCCTCAAAGATGAAGAGAATTATGCTGAACTTGCAGAAGCTGGATCAAAATTTTGAATAGAAGTTTGACAATTCAGTGAATGGTCAACTTAAAGTTCTTAAGAGTCTTAAAGTAAAAATAACAGTGAAATTTCTAAAAGTTGTTCCACGGAACTGTGTCAAATCCATAGATGCACGTGGCATACCTGGCTTCCTTCTGTACATGAACATGCAGAAATATATAAAAGCTCTTTATTCAGAGAAATTAACCCTGTGATAGAGTCCACAAATCACACTAATCAAATTCTCTCCATTAACACACTCAAAATCAAAAGGTGGAATAAAATTAGACTAATCACATTGGAAAAATGACTATGTTAGATAGCAATCTTCTACCATTTTTATTTCTGCCTTCTAGCACTTAAAATTTCCACGCATACAGTGTTTAAAGAAAGGCCACCCTTGTTAGCTGAAGACAGTAAATAAAATAAAAAGCAAAGGAAAAAAAAAAACGATCAACAGGGAAGAACATCTTAATGGCTTGCTGAATATCATCAAAATGCAGCTTATTCCCTCTAGTGTAGTAGTGATACCAGCAAAGCTTGCAAGGGTAGTTACTTACATCAAATAGCTTCTCTATATACATTTCCTCATTGACCTTTTCTCGAAGTATATCCTGGTTCTGTCGAACAAACATGATGTAGGTATCTGCTAAATCCATCCCTGGTTTCTGTGGAAACATAAAGCAAAGAGATGGAGTTGTGGAGAAGGGAAAGAGAAGGACCATGCAACAACTGAGACATAAGAAGTCTTATACTCAGTCTTAAAGTCTCATACTTCGTCTTAATGAAAACTGAGATTATGTTAGAATGTTTCCATATGTATTGACAGCATTTAGTAAATCTGCTATGAACTTTGAGTTAGCAAGCTCAGAAGGGTTCACTTTTTATTACAATTTATGAATGCTTGGAGTCATAAATCTACTCTGCAATATGTGATCCAAGAAGGAAGTCTTGGTTCTTGTAACATCAATGGCATACTAGGACATTTTCCCCTTTGTCTTTAGCAAGGCTACCACAACTACCCCATCTTCATGGTCCAGATCCTGCTACCATCACACTCAGAAAAGGGTTAAAAAATGTCAAGCAGTTCCTTTTTCATTCAGTCAGTTTTGTTGCCATTTGCGTTCAACATACAGCTGAACTTTGTGTTTGAGGTTAGCTTCTATTAATTCTCATTCAAAGTTCAAGCATTTCACTAAAAGCAAATGATTAGATTGGCACAAAAACATTAGGTTGAGAGTAGACCTGTAGCCCCATTTTACTGAAACAGAGGCACAGTCAGCTCAGAGAATGACTAGGAAACAGGAAAGGACTAAAATATTTCCCTTCTTGCACCAATCCATGTTCTGCAGGAATGCTGGAGTAGGCACAATTTTAATACCATACTCTTAAACAGGTCAGGAAAGGCTGCCCAAATGTCAAGTCTGCTAGGTGGTTACTGTAGCTGCGTTTTCCTGCCCAACTGGGACTTCAGGACCTCTCTGTGCACAAAATGTTATTCCACCTAAACCCTCACCCTGTCAGCCTGTAATGTCCTCTTTCCTGGTAGCACACACAGAGTGGGTCTGAATTCACTGTTCTCTATAGGAGGAACCAAGGACAAACAAGCACTTTGGAAAGACTTACATATCAGCAAGTTGGTAAAAGTATATGTTGCTCCTGCATAACAGCTTTTGTTGTTGCTTGTTTTCCCAGTTCACGGCACGCAAACGAAAGCTAAGTTTTATAACAAATGTCTCTGCAGTAAGCTTTAGCACAATGTGTTTTATAAAGGATTTGGAATGACGGCCTGGTTTAACGATTCTAGCATCTCCAAATCTCACACCCAACAATTCAACACTTTGTGCACTTATATTGATAATGTCATTTAAAAATCTTATCATGTACGTGTAGCTACCAACATGAAACTCTTAAGAGGTAACTGAGACGATTTATATTTACAGCTGAATTACAAACCTTGATCATAAGCACAGAAATAAAAATGTACAATGACAACAGATAAAACAACTGTTTGAGATAAATGGATTTCATTCATTTTAAAAAAAAAGTGCCTTTTTCTCTAAAAGTTGGCAGAGATGTTTCTAAATGAAACTAAATCAAAACGAAGGAGATGTATAACTGGAAGTTACACAGAGTCCCTTAAGATACTCATTCGTGAAAGTAGAGAAGAAAGCCAACAGTTCAAACGCTGTAGGAAATTTACAGAGATTGGGCTAGTTTTAATTTGGAGAGAAAATGGGGAAATTCTCTGAAATTTCAGAGGTGGGTGAAGGAGATAATCTAATAATTGAAAGATTTATTTCTGGTTCTTGGAGATACATATTCAAATCTAAAATGAATCTTCCACTGAATGCTAAAACCTGCTGGTTCTCTGGTTCATGCATTTTTTTCCTTTAGTTCAATTCTTTTAGTAAATAAAGCAATGTTTGTCTTGCAGACAGCTAAAGCTAGAAAAATAGCATTTCTCATCAGTGTTAACTCTCCCCTTATCTGTGAGCTGTTTACCTAGTCTCGAAGCTGTGACATATGGGAATTTCACACCTAGTGAATATATTTTCATGTATCTTGTGGCATGGGAGTGTAATCATTAAAAGAATATACACAAGTAAGAGTAACTGCAACAGCTGGTGACATTTACCAATTAGAATTACAGTTCTTTAAAACACTTCATCCTTCTTTAATGTGTGCAGGATAATTATCTTTGAAATCAATGTGGAAAAAAAATTAATTTTCCCTTTAAACAGTGTCTTTCTACAGTAGAAATACGTCTGGGTAAGGAAGATTACCAATATTGCAACAGTATGACTTTCTCTTTTAAAAACTCACCAAAATCACTGCAAACTAACCATCTTTGCTTATGGTGTGTGAAACAGAATAAACATGGAATGAGCCAATATCATATCAAACTGTCTGTTATCTCTTTATACAGCATGCACTGAATTTCTTGTCTCTGAACACATGAAAGAGGAAAAGAAAGCTATATAAGCACCAAAGCACTAAAGCAGGTGCAGCACCATACTTTTTTTTTTTTTTTTTTTCCATAGGGTTTACGTATTAGAAACAAACTTCTGATTACAGGACCCTATCATTGTTCTATTTCGTGTATTAAGCTTCAGAATAAAAGAAAGAGGCAAACATACAATACCAATCATAATAAAAAACCAATTGGGTCTACCTTAAAATGCAAGCTCATACAAACTGAGATATATTTTAAGTAGCAGTCACAGAGGACTTAATTACAAATACCAGACAAACCTGAAGACTCCACTTCTGTGCTCAAAACATAGAATTTTACTCCCCTATATGTCAGGCAGAGCATTTGCAGGAGCCAATGGGAGAAAGAGATTTTCACAGCTTTAGGAGAAAAATGTAGCCTGGTATATTTATCTGGGTAAGCGTAAAAAGGCATTCAGACTGAAAACTTCCCCAAGGAAAAAAAAAAAGTGTTTTTTTTATGATGGATAAAAAGTTATTGTACGTTTGTTTTATTCAGAACAAGCAGACAAGATGTTTTGCCTATCTGAAAATGAAAGAGAACCAAACAAAGAGATGAATGGAGAAACCAGAAGCACAAAGACATCAAATAAAATACCAGGAAATGAAGAGTTGTAAATAGGGTTACTTTGTCGCTGGTTACACAAGTAACTGAATACACTGGCAAGTGAATGAGTTTCAACAAGGGCGTAGGCTTGGGCACATTCTTTTTTAGGGTTAATCACTAGTTAACCTGGTGAGATGAACATGCTGTTTGGGAAAAAAAAAAAAAAATCCTTCTTAATTATATACTGCAAGTGCTCTTACTTCCTGCTGCTCCACCTAATCCCACAGGTGCGGGTTGTCTCTTCTGCTCTGCACTGGTGGGAGGGCCCACATCACCACGCACTTTTTCACAGCAATGCATTTAGATAAAGGAGAAACAACTTTTCACCATTAAACAGAGAAACACTGTCATAATGTCTACATAAAGTGAGGGAAATTTAAAAATACTTCATTCCCATTCCAAAGATTATGTAGAAACTCCATTAGGACTGACACGTGCTGGGGCCACTGGTGATGGGGTGTCTGGTCAAAAGTAATGCTGCACGGCCTTGAGTTCCACACATTCACTTGCTTCACTGTTGGAAGATTTGCAGCAAGTTGAACACTGCCACTTGCATCAGCTTTTCCCTATAGCACAGATACACTTAAGTCTCTGCACAGCTTTTCACAATTCACCTGTTTGTCATGAATCTCAGTAAAAACCATGTAAGTACCGCATGGTGTTTATTCTCACTTAGGCATTTGTCACAGAACATTTCTTATCATCACAGAATTTTAAGCATACTCGGATTCTTGATATTACTCAGAAAAACGTAGCCTTACAGAGCTGCTACCCTGTCAAAGCATTCATTTTTCAAAGAGGAGAGCAGATGCTGAAGGCTAACTACGTAACAACTAACTTCTTCCTATTTTGTATGTGCTCTCCTCTCTGCCCCCTTCCCCTCCCCTGCTGGAGAGAGGCGTTTCATCTGCAGTGCGGGTGGAACAATGAAGTGAAAAGGAGTGATGAGCTGGAGGGGGCCATTGTGAGAAACATAGGAGCTCCTTATTAAGTGTCCACCACCTAATGAAAGAGCATGCTGGAAAATTTCACTCCTCTAAATACTCAAGGGTCATAACTCAAGCCTTTGAATCATAGAACAAAATATCACTAAAATATTTTTGGAATGAAAGCTACTTGTGTTCATGACTGGATCCTCACTCTTCATTTCTTACATATCAAAATACCTATGCCATGATTAGTTCATTTTAAAGGCAGTATTTTATTCTTACATGGTTATGAAAAATACTATCTTGCTTAAACGAAAAAGATGTTATGCAGTTTCCTTGCGTGCAATGCATCTTCTAGTAGATTAAAAAACAACCTTGGCAAAGGCTAAGCTGTGTATTTTATAAGAGAACAGTCATGCAGAACTTAAGCTGTGATTCTACAAGCATTTACGCAAACACTTTTTCATATAAATTCAGTTCCACTGAAATCAAAGGGCAACACAGGCATTGGAGAGGGCTTGCACCCTGTTTGCAGATCTGTTGCAGATGTTTGCAATTCTGCGGTGCAAAAGATCTTCAATATGCTATAGCTACTATGACAAAATCTGATGACTCTGAAACTCTGCTTTCCCACTTCCAACAAACAATTCTGTTCTATTATGTTATTTTAACTTTCTGTCTGATTAGCATTTGTTCTACTGATCTCCATTTAACATATAGTTCAGAAACACCACTGACTTAAAAAGGATGATACAGAGCATTTCCTCTTGCTCTATTCCAGTAGCTTGTTTTCTATGGATTGAAAGCAGAAGGATGGTTCCTAGGTTTGGGTGTACAAAGGAGGAGGAAGATAAGAGAAGCATGAGGATGAGGACTATTTTGTGTTCTTTATTTGTAAACAGAGGTCTCCAAGTAAATCCTGATTAAAAAAGGAATGGTACGGTATGGCCACACCTTAATAAAGACTGATTTCCTAGAAAAGTTGCTTACTTCTCAAAATCAGTTGAATAGGTAATGCAACAGAAGTATTGTATTTGGAAATGGAGGTATCTGGAAGGTCCCAATGTGTATCTGCCTGGTAGGAGGCAGAGTTCCTACTTTGGCCTCTACGGGACCCCATAAGTCAAATGCTGGCACATGTGTGAGGCCCCTTTTCATACCTTTGATCCCTGCATAAAGGCAACAGCAGAGTAAGAGGGCTGGCATTGTGTGAGTTGTGCACTGCTGTCAGTCCTGGCTCCTTCAAATGGCCTCTGTGCACTTGGTATGACAGGTGGCCTACATGGAGTGCGGGAGGATTAGGTTCCTTCTGTGCCCTCTAAATGACTGGCATAGATTACTGCCTCCTACAAAGGGATTTAAACATACCTTTCTGAACAAAAAGAAGTATATAAATATGCATGTAACTGGATGCTCAATTTGTATAAGTAATTGCTCTGGTTGGTTATATTTGTAAATGAGGCAAACGTGTACAGAAATGATAAGTTAGATATACAGTTATTTGTGTGCAAAACTAACATGATGAGAAACTAAACACAATTAAATTATCTACACAATTGAGGAATAGCAATAATTTGAGATTGATATACATTTTTGCCCTCAGTTTTGCTGCATTCTTTTCCTTTTCTCATTAATTAACTGGCCATGTGAACATAACACTAAAGAAGGGAAAAAATAGGTTTTAGTTCTGTATCTGCTAATGATTGCTTGGGCTTTAAGAGAAACTAAAATACTTATTTGGGTGAGGTTTCCTTTTGGTTTGTTTGTTTTTAAAGTGCACCAAATAATTTCCTGCATTCCCAAAATCAAAGCATAGCATTAACAAGAGAAAAGTTGCATCACTGATGTACTGCTAATATTTCTAATGTTTGTGCTGTTTTCCTCCAAACATTTGTTTTCTTTCATGAACTCAACGGCCACAACTTCTTCCATTTCAGAGAACAGCATATCATCACAATTACCAATAAAAATAGCAAAATAGCAACTAGATTTTTTCATTATTATTTTTATGAAAACATAAATCATCATTGATAATACTTTTCTTAGTCTGGGTTATTTTGCACTGTCCCCAATATTTCCATAGGTGCCAATATATCCCTAAGTGCTGTGGTAGAAGAAAGCACTGGGAATTTCTTGTGACTGTGCACCTACCAAATCTTAAAAGAGCATTCTGAGAAATGGAGCCTTATGTTGAATGCTTTCTTAAACAGGTTAAAATCAAAAGATGACATTTAGTTTTGGATGGAGCTTTTCACAATTCTCTGAAAAGACTGATGAACAGAAGGGTAGATGGTGATACTGAACATGTAAGCAAACTGCAAGTCTGAGTCCACATTTCCCATTCCAGCCCTGAGAAGAGGAAGAATGCCATCTGCTGAGTGTGTGCTCTTATCTCCCACGACTTAACATCTAAGTTGCCTATCAATACTAGAATTATTAGAATTAATCTTCTCCTCAAAATGACCAAGAGCCATTCAAGAATGTCCTTTTTCTTTCTTAATCCTGTACTTTTTATCTTTTCCTCTCATCCTATCTCTAAAACATTCTGCTCAGTACTCTCTTCATTTTCTCCTAATATCTCCTTTGTAAACATAAAAAGTTAGTTTCTTCTTATTTCACTATAAAATAGCATATTTTCCACTCTGCCAAATATTCAACGTAGAATCAAAGATGAAAATTCTGATGAATTCATGCACATACTTTAAAAAAAACAACCAGACCCAAACAGCAGCCTTTTTGCCTCTTAACCCCTTCTCCTCATGTGGTCAGCAGTCCAGTTACCAAGAGCCCAAGGACAACACTGAGGTGACCCACTGACATCTTCAAACGGAGGCATGAAGGCAAAATACAGTCATCTAAAAAAGTGCAATTTTGCATATTATTGAAACTATATCAAATGAGACAGTTGCATTCTGGGGTACCTCTAAGTCTTTTATCACTGCAAGGAATCGAATTTCAAGCACAGACTAATATTTTTAGAAGTATTCAGTCCTGGGCCTACTGTGATCCTCTTTGTTACCCTTTCATACCTGCAGCTATATGATAAGCAAGGACAGGAGGAGATAAAACTGTTGAAAGAACTTTTAGCAACCATGCAGTCTAGTATGTCTGAGGTTCATCCATTCAGTAATTGCATTTACGTAACATCATTAACATAATTTCAATCACTTTTCCTGTGCTTGGAAAATAACCTAATCTTAGAATCACACTGAAATCCAGGAGGACACTTTTGAGAGAGCAAAGAATATTTTTGACAGCAATATTGACAGTATTTGTGCTTTTTAAAAGAAAAATGTTTTACTCTGATGAAAATATTCTTATAGTTGCATTTTACTTTTATGTATAAAATATCTCCAACGGCAATCCTTTTAGTTTTTATTCACACCACATGAACACCACACAATCAATGGCAGATCAAACAGAAGTTTAGCAAACAAGGGATTAAATAAGCACGGTTGGGTTGTACAGTAAAAAATGATGCTTTTACTTGTTGCTTATCCTCTACAGTTGAGCATTTTGCCCAAACGATGGAAGGACTCCTACAAAGGAGTACCTAGGTTATAATCCTCACTCTTCCACAACTGAAAAAGTGCATTGAGAATAACCTTTCTAAGCTTTGCTTTGAGAGTTATTCGTTGCTTAAGGGAAATGAAATGCCCTCTGAGGTTTGTAGTGGCTGTTTAAAGACTGTGCAAAGCTGTAATGAATCTCTGTAGGAAAGCAAAATGTCAACAAAAAATGTGTGAGTTAACAAAAGCACCTTTTTTTTTTGAATTATTATTAACAATGGCAAAAAAAAAAAAAAAGGTTGTACTTACAGGAACGTCAACATATTTTGCAGCTGCTTTCACCTTTAGAAAATGAAAAATAAAACAGCACACAGTCAGAGCTTACTGCTACAGATTGTGCACAAGTATAGAATTATGCACAGAATGAACAAAAGCACTGTGAATTCGAACACCTACCGTGAATGAAACTAATGATGAGAAGAAAGTGCCTTCGTCATATCTTGACAGTTTGGACAGCACACCTTCCAACACTGAAACAACCTGGAGGAAAAGCACAGAGCAAAAGCCAAATGCACAATGTGAGAAGTAAATATTTTGAATGAGAAAGTGAGGTTTTCTCCTCAGACTCCTATTGTTCAACATGGCAAACCGCCAATTTGATCATTTTTCGGCACACAAAACACTGAAATCATGGAAGGCATTCGTTTTTCAGCTCACTTTATGACCACACTGGTAGATATCACTGTTTAATGACTGCAGAAATAAAAACCAACTGGCATTTCCTCTCAAGGTGAGCCTGTTAATACATACCTCTTTGCTTTCCTTGCACTGCATGGTTAAATACAGGAGTGCGTATATCCAAATGTATTCTGGGTAGGAAATGTTATTTTCTAGGACCTCAGTTTCTAGGATCATAGCTTCAGAGATGATGGACCACAACTGTTAAAGCCTATTATGTCAACATCACGTTCCTCTTATCTTCGTTACTGAAAATAAACCCAACACCAGTTTCATCCAGCAGTGTCATAGCACTAGTGTTTTCTATCAGCTCGTTTCCATTAACAGCAACAGCTCCTGCATGGCCAACATGGGGCATGAGAACATAGGCCCTACATCTCTGTTATGGCAGGGTCTTTTCCCCCATAATTCCACCTGCGACTCTCAAGTAACACGCAAAGGCTATTTTGCCAGAATTTATTTCTGACTCCAAAAATCCAAATATTCATTGTATTCATTGAATTAATTGTAGCCTTAATATTTATAGTGCCTAAATTAGCCTTAGAACATGTTCCTCTGTGACATAAGTCACTTACAGTGTAAGACAAAGTATCTGCCAGCCATTGTATGCGTCCGCATTTATTTTACACATAGAAATTGCCTTCCAGTTTGTATAAAGATTGTTTTAAAAGTCATCCCTTGCTCCAATGCAGTCATTCCAACAACCACGAGTATCATTTTATGAGTGTGAGGACAGAACAAAATTCCATCTGGCATGCTGTTAATGGGCACTGTAACAGTGTCACAACAGTGTCACCTCCAGAGGAACTGAGATCATCACTTTACAATAAGCCCTGCTCTTAACAGTTCAAGGAGCAAGAGCAAGTGCAAGCCTACATTTGTCATTTATCAATCTAACCCGCCATATTACAGCGATTAATTAAGACACTAGTATGTCAGCACTGATCAAGGAATTAAACCACTTCATGAGCTACCAGAGAGAATGTGGTTGTTCCTGCACTCCATGCACAGTTTAATTAGAGTCCTCTTATTAGATCAAATGCCATCTCTCTGCCTTGCTGTTCTGTGCCTGCAGAAGCTGCTGCTCATGTGCTGCAGACTCCCATACTCATTTTATCTGAGTGGTAAGGATGCCATCTGCCCAAGGGTGTTCAGTCACACTGTGCAAATATCCACTATGTGGAAGGGTTACAAAAAACATCATGTATGCATTGCCAACAAATGGTTCCAACACAAGTGGGATAGAAATGGTTCCAATATAAGTGGGACACAAAAGATCAGGAATTTAAACACCACGGTGTCAAGGATGTCCATTTAAATGAAAGACATAGTTATGAAGCTGGAAATTTCTTTTCTGAGCTCTCACTGTACAGACTTGTAAAGCTCTAAGAGCATCTGATTCTCTGAACTGGTTACTCCGAGACACACTGTGCTTTGTTCCACTGTTTAGTGCTGTTCTCTTATTTGTTAAATGCTTTAGCTCTGTAAGTCTTACACATAAAAGTCACAGTTTCATCTTTTCTAAGTAGAATCTCACTGAAGTGTTCTTTTCGTTTTCTTAAATTACTTGCAGCTAAAAACAAATATGGAAACATTTACTCCACTGGAACATAATACTGAGGCAAATAATACAGAGGCAAAGGATAAACAGTAATGAAAATAGCTGAAAAGCAATGAACATGCAGGAATAATGTGCAGATTGATGCACACTTTTCCTAGCCAAAAGAGAGTGAAGCATCAGCCTTACTCAGCACCTTCAGAGGCTTTCTGCTTTGGAACAGAAGCAATCAGGATGTCACTGGCACTTCACATCACAAGTTAGGAGAGCCTGGTTAGGCTCCTTATGATTGGCCTATGACACGGAATATTTGCTTCCTGTTCTTTCAACCTCTTGTAGCAGTGTATGTGATAACTAATAATGTACATCCTTCTTCACCAATGGCAACTGTCTGTAGAATTTGTATCTATGTCTAGGAACAATATGATTATTTTCCTCTTTCAGTAATATCATATACATTAAAAAACATTTCAAGGATTGACTTCTAACAGTGTGATTTGCTTTCACTTGATTTCTTCCTCTACATCTTCAATAATTCTAAAAAACCTGACAGGTTGCATATAAATCTCAGTGCTGACAATGTGAACAATGTGGTGTAATGTTTATTTTAATACAGCACTTTACAGAAAGCAGTTTTACATTTTTTACACATTTATCAACCATGCTTAAGCTTCTATAACAATCCTACAAAAACTCCCACTCCAACTCATGTACAAGCAGGAGGTCACTCCTAAAAGAGATTCTTGCTCCCTCTCACCCCCTGCCAGCAAGCTGTAAGTAACGAAAACAAAGGCATAAGGAAAATATAAGCATGGTCTTAATTTTTCTCTCTAACTCACAATTTATAAAGGCAAGGCTAATTTCTCCTCTGACAATCAGATATTTCTGTGTAGTCTGCAATGCACAGACAGCAAAACATCTTATAAAATGTTTATGTTCTCTAGTCATTATTTGCTGTGTCCTTCAGACTGAAAGCCTTTTCTTCTACATTAAGCACTTAAGACTTTTACTGAAGTGCTACAGTAACACAAGATGTTATTTAAATTTTCTTCAAATATTCGAGTATTTATACCATGTCAAACCATGTTTCCTTCTGACATAAAAAAAAAATCTGCAAAGGCTCTTTCAGGAAATAACAACTTATAATACACTTCTAAATTAAACGGTTTGTGAAGCAAAATTAAAAACTTACATTCAGGATGTTGTTCAGCTTTATACACAAAATTATTTAAATACTATCTGATGATGGAGAGAAAGTTTTCATTAAACAAAAAGTAAAACATGGTGTTATCTGGGACAGGACTGACGTAATCAGGTCTTGCTGGTTCTATCTGATTAGCAGCTGCACATTTTCCACCTAACAGTTAATAAAATTTAATTTGGTAAATGTGATATTATTTGGATGACAATGAGTTACAAACTGTGTTGTTGTTTCCTCCCCTTCCAATTGTATTGTAAGCCTGTATAACAATAAAAGACACTTCAGAAGTTCAGCAATTAGAAATATATTTTCTACTTTTTTGATTAATGAAAATCTAAATTGTTTTACCTTTGAAACAAGGAGTGAAATAATTTCTTTCACAGTCTCTTCAACCAAGTCATCTATTTTTGAATGGTATTGTTGCTGTTTTTCAAAAGATAAACAAGCATTAGCATGTACATGAAGACACACTTTTGTCATGTCATAAACAGTGTGAAGCTGATAATACTGCCAGATCAGATTTACTTAAAATTATCATTTTGACCATCAGAAGAACGAACCCTTGAAAATGATCCACCCAATCAACACTTTCTTATGTTGTGTGTTGAAAATTTTCCCATGTATACTGTTGAGTTAAGCAGCTAATGGGGTTATTATTTAGATGAATTGAGTTCTTATTCTTATTCAGGCGAAGGAATGTGAAGGATACTTTTTGTCTTCCCCTATATAATTAAGGTGGCCATGTATTTTTTTTCTAAAGGGTTGGTTTAGCTGCAGAAGCAAAAAGACTAGAATAAGATTTAATTAATAGAGCATTTCATGTCTGACAACTCTCATTCATAAGTTATTTTAAATGTCCTCTAGAAATGAAACGAACTTCAATAGTTCATCCTAAAAGAGCCTTTCTGTTAGCACAGTGAGCTGCAGTTTGTGTAAGTCTTACAATATGCTCAAGCAAGGGCAAAATTAAAATTTCATCAATAAAGCAGAATAGATGGTAACTAATTAATAGGCCATAAAAGGCATAATAAAACAGACTTCATTTTCCACAGTCTCTTTCTTTCACTTTTTCATACAGAAAGTGCCTTTAAGTAAATGCTTTTAAAATAAATCTGAAAGACTTTTAGATAACACCACAGAGTTCCCTCTTGAAATTAACAGAAACTAGGGATCCCATTTTTTCAAGGAGGCACATCAATTTAAACAGTAATTCTTCCTTTAGAAACGCTTATCTGACAGCAAAGATTGTCCCCAATAGCCACTTCACAGAAAATGTGACTTGTAAAGACTAACCCTGCCTTCATAGTTCAAGGCTACTTGTAACAGCTAACAGCATAATGCTCAGAGTAAAAGTACTGGGGTCAGTACAAACATTAGCCTAACTTAGCAGCTGCTAGATGAATAGTTTGCAGAGTTTTCAAAGGCTATTTTTTATCTGCCTTAGAGTTGCCATACAAATCAAAACATTAAATCCGTTCAGCTTAATAGATTTAGGAATAATTTTCTAAATAGTACATTTCCTAAAATTGCATTGAAACTCAGAGAGAACAAAACTATGAAATGTGTTTATCCAAGCACATTTATCTGTTCCATGTACCAACTACCGTTCCCAATGTATGTTAAGTTTTGCTTTTAACATTTTCTCTGAAGTTTAAAAATAGTTGGAAAACATGAATACAGATCTCAGACAATATTAGCACACATCTCAGAAGAGTGAAAAAATGTATTAAACACATTAAAGAACTTTTCATAGTTCCATTATATTTAACTTCATTATAAAAAAAATTCATGATCAGAAAAATTAAGAAACAATTTGAATTATTCAAAAATAACAAAAAGCTTCCAAAATTATGAAGTTTCTTTAGAAATTAGATTTGGATTTTTATTTTAATCTGAGTTTTTTTTTTTTTTTTTTTTTTTTTTTCCCAAGACTTATTTTGCAAGCCATACAATCAAACCCTTTTTTTATCCCAATCCTCCCCAGTGTCAACTTCCAGCAATACAGACACACTTGACAAAGCAAAACTTCAGCTCCTCACAGAAGATTATCAGACTGCAGGTGGTTGCCTTTAGGAAGATGGCAAATACTGTAGAATTCACTATGGAGTTATGTGAGCTGACAAGGTTATATGCACAACCCCAAAATCAGAAATAGAAGGACTGTTTTTTCTGCTTCTGCCATGCTTTCTCAGTGAAGCAAGCTTCACTCCTTTCCCAAATTCATTTATTTATGGATGGTTGTATCCTTATGTTCTTCTGCTGGCTGATGTGATCACAGCCCAAATAGAGGCTGAATCTAGACAACTCCTACAGCTACATGGTTTGAATGCACGCTGTGGGGTCCTTCCGCATGATCCCAAAATCTCTGAAGGATCTTGGGAAAATGTAAAATGCAGTTCTGCCCTTAAATTACTCCAGTAAAATATGAACAGCTGCACCTATAGGAGGTACATGAGAAAAAACAATGCTTAGAGACATAGCGTGTAATGGATTGTAACCTAAAATGACTTTCTGTTGAGAACAACCTGTCTGGTCTTCCAAACATGTTTCCACGCCCCCAGTAGCAGACCCAGTACTGATATTTGGAAGGAGACAAAGTATTTTAACACTTTCAGACAACCCTACTTTTGGGAACATAAGTGTTTGTTCCTAAATCCTGTGGTGATCAGCTGAGAACCGTAACTTGCTCAGCTCTGCAATATATTCAGTGTTCTCCTCCATTCAATCTCACTGTGTCTCAACATTGGACTGGGCTTTTTGAATTTGGGTTGTTTTTTTTTGTTGTTTTTTTTTTAAATTTAGTTTAGTTCTGTTTCTTTTGTTTGTTTTAAAGTTGGATGGCTCAGAGTTTGAAAAATAAATTCCATGTGATCATCTGAACTAAAACTATTACTATCAACATAACAATACTATCTGCATATGAAATTACTTCTGTACTTCTACTATCAAATCAGCTATACTCCTCTACTATTTATGCAGTTAAATGACCTTGATCTTTGAATTTCATGAACTGAAAGTGCTTCAGAAACAAAGCTCATCAAATTAAAGCCCAACTTTCCCTGGCATTTTTTTTTTCTCCCCAGCTATCAATATCCACTGGATGTGGTCCACTGAGAAGGCACATTACTCATTTTTCCACAAATGGAAAAGTAATCTCTCATTTAAAAAGCATGATAGGGAGGCTGGAGTTCTGAACTAAAATAGCTTTTATAAATATTTTGCTATAAAGCACTGAATAGTATAGACCAGTGGTGTTTATTCCATTCAAGCTACCCAGTTACAAGCCAGCAAACAAGCTCCTGCTCATGCCTAACTACTTGTCAACCTAAGTGGCCCAAGAACTATTCTGTTAGACTTTTGCCTCCAGCAATATTTCCTGTGTGATTCTTGCCTATCATACTAAAAAAAACCAGAATATAGTTGCAATACTGCAGTTTCTAGACTGTAACTTTTAAAGTTAATAGGCTGTAAAGTATTAATCCCAAACAACAAATGCTGAAGAACTCTGGATGAATGATTACTGTACGACAGAAAATATTTCCCTTGCTGCTGCTATTCATTTCATTCAGGATATATGGACTGCAAAGGAACAATGCCTGCTGATTCAGGAAGGACATGCGACGCTGTTCAGCATATATTTACTGAAGATTACATACACTGACAATAAGAAGCTGGACAGGAAACTACTGGAGAAATAGTAGCAACTGGCACGTCACTTGGCTGTCCCCCTGTGTCCTTCTGCTTTTCTCCATAAATTGCCATTCTACTCGGCTATGAATAAGGCTACAGGCACTGTAGTTCATCTGAGACAATGTGCTTCTCCTTTGGACATGCCTCTTAAAGCCTCCTAAGTCAACCGTCAAACAATGCAGAAGGCATTGAGCAAGCTGAGCAATCTTTAAACACAATGTATTGACTATTACTATTGACTACTGACTTAAGCTTTTCTTAAGATTTAAGTTGATATATAATAGACAAGGAGCAACGCCTTTCTGAATGTCAGACTTAGGGACTACTTATAAAAGTAGATTTCTTCACTGGAGAACAGTTGGGAAAATGGTGAGAACTGTATGTACTAACAGGAAAATCAGAAGACTCAATCAAATTTAAACTCAAAACTCAAGGTGCTGCTTGACCATTATTACATGATAAATAAAAATACTTCCCTATCTGACCATGAAAAATTCCTCATCTGACTCTAAACGAATCAAGCATACAAGTGCTCCTAGCTCTGTATAGGGAATCACAGAATCACAGAATCACAGAATCACCCGGGTTGGAAGGGACCTCAAGGATCATGTAGTTCCAACCCCCCTGCCTAGCAGGGCCACCAAACATACACATTCAGATCAGGAACACACACATTCAGATCAGGACACACACATTCAGATCAGGGAAGAAGAAGGAAAAGATTATGTAACATTCAGGGAGATGCTTAAGTCTAATATTACATAAAATAACGTCTTCTGCTCACAGAGTCAGTTATAAGAACTGTCAGATGAATATTCAGTTGAGTTTTAGGTGAAAAATTCGCTCTTTAATCATATTTTTACTGAGGCCTTATGGAAAACTTCTCTTGACTAGCACAAAATACCATGTCTGAGATTAAATTGAGGCTGAAGAAGAACTAAGGAAAGAAAGGTAATATGGAAAAGGTTTTAAGACCAAGTGGCTGAGTTGGAGTATCTGGAAATGTCAGAGGTCCTATAGACGAGCAAGAAATACAACAGATGATGCCATGAGATGCTCCTCTGGCTTCTTTGGCAAATGGGCAGATTCCAGAAGTATCTCACTCAAGAAATCTGTAAGTGTTTCAAACAACTATGATATAAGCTACAAGTGACAGAAAGACTTATTTTTTCTTACTCATTCTGAAACAGCCTTGTGAACAGAAAAAACTGATAATTCAGAATTTATGAGAAAGTTTTCCCCACTACACGATAACTTCTGATATGTGAAGAATTTGAGATTCCTTTGGCTGATTAGCTTTAATGTTAATTTGGGGACTTCGAAATAAGTATCTGTTTCATCACACTGTTCAATTCTTGCACTGCAAAAAGAGCACTGGAGGCATTTGGAGTCATGGTCAGATCTTGCAGGGATAAAGGCTGTACTGCCATTTGGAGCTTGATGGAGATTAAAATAAACAACAGGGCTTAAAAATCTAAAGAATGAGGAGATTTCAGAAGGTCTGCAGTCCAAGAGGTAGCTGCGAATGCTGAACTTTTGTTCTGAGGGAGTCTTACTGACAACACAGAAGGCATCATCAAGAGCACGTGAGAGGAATGATGTGACTGTGGGAAGTGAGGCTATTCCATCTGTCTGAGGTCTTCATGGAGGTGCTGGTGTTCTTCCCTAAACAAGGATGTGCACATGTGTGCAGGTTCCTGCTCAGAAAAAGATGAACTGCCTTCATCCCCTAAGGTGAAGAGTTGCTAGTTGTGGTAACTTCTGATGAGCATGAAACAAACTATTTTGCTCCACTGAGAGGTGAAAGACCCCAAAACTTTGTGACTGGGATTGAAAAGAAGAAGAATGAAGAATTCATCCAGAATCACCTTAGAAGGGTGAATGAAGAAAGAAGAATTTAGAAGCTGGTAATCCAGCAAGGTTAGTCTGTAAGGAAATTCCTAAGGCTGGGCAAGCACATTAATAAACAAAACAAACACAAAAGCGTTGTTTCAACTTAGAATTCACAATGGCAGTTAAAAACTAAAGAAAAAATGTAGGTTAAAAAAACAATGAAGAAACACTTACCCATTGACTAGCAAACTGGTTCATGTCATGGAAAACCAAAAGGAAAAATAAAGATGACAGGGTAGAACAGGAAAATGATGAATGTCTCATTGAAATGAGGAAAAAAAAAAAAAAAAGACAATTACATTGAATACACTAACTCAAAAAGATGAATCAACAAAATAAAAAGCACAATACAGAAATGGAAAAATCAGCAGAAACAATATGACAAAATAAAATAAATGTAAAACTGCCCAGACAAGACATACTTTTTTTTTGCCACATTCTGACAAATGTTCTAACTATCTCTCCAAAACCAAATGACACTAATGCATTAGTACTAGTGCGTAACAAGAACGGTTTTAATTTGATGTGCTGGTAATGTCACCAGAGTACATAGCATGCCCTTTTTCATTTTGCACATTATTTCTGCTGAGAGTGACAACGTGGGAAGTACAGCAGTCAGTGAAGTCTGTATTTCCTTTAAAAACACATCAATGCTCCAGCTGTGGGGAATCTACTACTCCGGTAGCAGGCTAGTACTAAAACTGTCCCTGACCTTCACAATTAAATTAAAAAATCCCATTAAATTAGCTGATTATTTCTTTCCTCTATTTTCAGCACATTCACAGGAATGAATGCTAAGTATATGAGCCAATTAAAACAATTCTTACTCAATTAAAACCTGACTGCAAAGGACAATGTTTTGGTACTATTTTACTATTACAAAAGACTCCTTATGCAGGATTATGAGCTGCTGCAACCCAAGCAAAATTCTCAGAGTGGCTGTGAATCAGGAATTTCTCTGATTATCTACAGACTCATAGGTCACAGAAAATAAATTAGAGAAGCACTGTATCTTCTCTGGTTTAGAAGTGTCTTGAGTGATCCTTCTAAGGAACACTGTATGTATGCCCCTGTACGTGATGACTTTCAGCTAATTTGAAATCAATTGACTACGGACTGTCCACAGACTGGGACATTTCATATGAACTGAACATATGAATTAAGCATACAAAATTCCACTTACCTCTTGCCCTCCTTCTAGTATGCAGAGTTTAGCTGTCTGCTTTTTGGCATCAACTAAGACATTAAACATTGTACACAGAGAAGAAGGAATACGCAAGTCTGTTGATTTGTTTGTCTTCTGCAGCTTGACTTCAAAAGCAATTCTTGTTCTGTTTATTAAAACACAATTCATAATATGAGCATTTCTGATAATTTTCGGTGACTGCTGCAGAAATATATAAACCTTATTCACCATGGTGACTTAATGATGTACGTGCACGTGAGAAGATTTTAGAAATAAAATTCTGAATGTGAGGATATCTACCCACTCAATAAACAATGGTATTGATAGTAATTTCAAGGTTCTGCACTGCTTCAGCTACTGCAGTGAAAAAAACCACTGTATTATCTTCTTGCCTACTAGATAACAATATGCTTCTTGTATGGTGATTAAGAAGAATTTAAAGCAATGAAAATACATGTTAAAATGTAGTTCACAATAAAGCAAGTGCTTGCTTGCTTCCAAGGAATATAATTCTAAAATCCCCTTTAAATTTTAACAGAAAAGACAATCTCATTGATAGAGTTTATTATTAAACAAATATGAATATTTATATTGACACCTAAGATGTATCATGAGATCAGTAATAAACAAAACTACTTTCTTTTCACTGAACGCTACTGAAGTAAATGATAATGGTTTCAGAATACAAAAATATAAAAATGTTTTATTTCTTCTTTTATTTGTAAACACACACAGTAGAAATTGACACAATAATTTACAAAATGGGAATGGAAGGATCTTTTATCTAATTTAAAATATCTTATAGAACACAGTAGTATCACAATGAGAAAATAGTTCCACCTTTCTTTTCTGAGTTGCTACTTTCCAATAGAACTCATTCTAGGGATACCACTTTCTTTGTTTATCTCAGTTTTGGCATCTTCACCAACACTAAAATATACCCGGAGTATTAACACTAGTATGTTATGTATTCAGCCTAAATTATCAATATAGTTTAAATAATGACACCAAGAACTTTCTGTACTATTGACACAACCCTCATCTATTGCTACCAAAATCTTATTCTCTACAATAGCAAGCAGCAAAGAGATCAGGATTGGTAACAGTGACCAAAACACAACCTAGAAGGAATTCTTTTTCTAGTGCCTCTGCGTAAATAATTTTTGCTCTTGGCTTCTACCTGTGACTCTGCCAGTGAGCTGCTTTTATCCTATTATGTTTGTGGCTTTAAAATCCACATAATCAAATCCATATAGAGCAGAGTGTTAGATAATGCCAACATACGGCATTAGATTTATTGTTTAGGAGAAATCACAGTATTTATATTAATATAATTGCCTTCTGATAGTAATATGTAATCATAATCACTTTAAAAAAAAGGACTTGATTCATTTGAAAAGACAAAAATTAAATTATTCTGACTAGTAATAATTTCATATACCCTTGTATTTTAGTCCTGTTGTCTCAGCCTAAATGTCTTCGAGCCAAAGAATTTTGCACAGATGGATGTAAGTTTGCATGACTGACTAGAAAACTTCCATTTCATTATTGTCTCATATCTACTTCTGCTACAGAACACAAACTTTTATTCCATTCATTATATCATCTTCCTTCCAAAATCAAATTTTTTGTGGTATGCTTCTGCCTTTTTCACCAAAATTTCACCATGGTAGATCTACAGCAATAAGCTCATATAATAAGTCTCAGGTTCTTGTTCCTATTATCTTTAAAGAAAACAAAAAAATATTGTGTTATCAGATTAAACTTCACAGGTTATGAAAGCTTCTCTGTTCCTTTAGTCTTCCATATCAATATTCCATATTTTCTGATTGACACTACTGAACTATCTACAAATTTCGTTTTCTCCATTACTGTTTTTTAGTCAACTATTAACATTTGCCACAAATCTGGAATGGAAAAGAGATTTGATTTCTTGACTTCTAGGGCACAGCGCAAAACATGCAGAAATTTTCCTTGCTACTTTGCAGATGTTGCTAAATTGCTCTTTGTCATGTGATGGGAAATACATGATTTCTTCATACTTGACAGAAATTCACATGATCTTTCCCAGTGCGTCTGCTGCTGATCACAGCAGGAAACAGGATCCTCCTATGGATGCACTTCTGTGCACCAGTATAACTGTTCCTATGTTAATTTTTAAATCTCTCCCAGTTTTCTATTGGTCATTTCAACTGTACCTTTTAACGCAGGCTTCTATCATGTCAGTGGCCATGAGTTTAAGTCTCTGCTCTAAATGGTGTGCAAATTCCGGTTCTGGCCAGTGAAGATCAAAAACAAACATCTGCAGAGCATCCAGTTTCCAAAAAAGATCTTCTGATGTAGCTGAGCCGTTGCTACGGAAAACAAAACAAAACAAAATCCCCAAGAAACAAAAGATAAATGTACAGATGTCTCTCTCATTTGCCATGGAATTATACAGGAGAATAGGATTTCCTTATCAACCCATCATCCTCCTTCACTTTATTTAATAGCACAGTTGCTTTTATTCCAAGGATGTGAAAATGGTAGTGGAAAATTTTAAGTAATTCCAAACAGGATGAAAAAAATACAATTTTCTCATCTGCAACTGAGGAATACAATAGGCTAAGGGAGGTTGCGTGAGATGATGTGGATCATGGAGGAATGATGTAGCTCAAATTTCAGATTAAGACAGGAAACATAAAGGATAAAGGAACATTAATTAGTAAGGACATTTTCCAAAACAGTTAGGATTTTGTATATGTTTTCTTACTTTCATAATTCAGGTAGATAAATCTACCAAAGAACTAAAAATACTAGTTGTAATATCATAAAAGAGATACCCAGACAAACAGTCCCTTGATAAATGCTCATTAATTCTCACTGATGGAATATCCCAATGGAAAAAAGAGAAATAACAAAATTCATGCATAAACAAAATGGAATTAGTATAGTTCTGTTTACAAGTTCTTCTGCTCTGAACCAAGTGATGAATTTCAAGACATTTACATGTGATAAGACATAGTAATTCAAGGCTAATCTTTGCTGTAAATACAGTTATGCTTCCACTGTCGATGTAGATTAACTAATATTATCACGATGTCTTGCATTTCAATGCCTCGGTTATTGCTTAAGAAGCCACAATACTTCACAGCACAGCATCCCAGGATGATAGTGACACAAGCCTCAAAAACAGCCTGGCAGGCTCAATTCTAATTCAGATAGCTTAAATATATCAATAGTGCCATTTTCTTGCTTCTACCTCATAGCAAAAGAACACAATTACCAGAGGGTAAAGTGACCCAAGCTCTCATGGAAGGAACTGGGGAGTGCTGAATGTGCTGAGACACGCAAGAGTCAGGTTAAAAAATGAACTAACTTAAAAATAGGAAAGATATCTCATATTTGACTGACTAATGTACTCATCAGCTGCACTAACACTGGGTCACACCAGCTGGGCTGTGACATTGGGCAGTAACATGAAGCAAGGCCTAAAGCACATATTCAGACCTTTGGAGAGGTTGCACAGATGCAGCAGGAGCACTGCTTTGGTCTTAAGAAAACCCATCACCTTCCAGATTCACACAAGCGCCCCCTTCTTCCCCTGCTTTAATGCTAGCAGTACTACAGAGTCATGAGAAAAGAATTTCTTCCTAATATCGAGTCCAAATCAATATTCTTCCAGTTTAAAGACATTTCCCCTTGTCTTGTCACTACATGTTATTCTAAAATGTCCCTCTCCACCTTTCCTGTAAGTTCCCTTCAAGTACTGGAACTCTGCTATAGCGTCCCCATGAAGCCTTCTTTCCCCTGGCTGAAGAGCTCCAGCTCTCTCAGCCTGTCCTTGTAGGGGAGGTGCTCAGCTCACTGATCATCTTTGTGGCCCTCCTCTGGACCTGCTCCAACAGCTCCATGCCCTTCTTGTGTTGGGGGCTCCACAACTGGACACGGTACTCCTGGTGAGGTTCCATCATGACAGCAGAGTAGAAGGGCAGAATCTTCTCCTTCTTCCTGCAAGTCACGCTTATCTCTATGCAACCCAGGATACAGTTGACCTTCTGGGCTGCAAGCACACACTGCTGGCTCACATTGAATCTTTCATCAACCGACACCCCTAAATTCTCCTCCTCAGAGCTGCTCTCAAGCCATTCTCCACCCAACCTGTACCTGCGCTTGGGATTGCCCCTTCCCAGATGCAGGATAGTTCACAGTTTTCAAATAGGACCTGCATGTTGTAATGCATTTTTCCTCACTCATCTTAAACAATAATTACAAATGTTACATTGTGCTGTGCTCCTGAAAGAAAACAGCAGAAACAGCAACAAAAGCCCAGGAGACTGCTAAGGTTACAACTTGCACAGGGATGTTACTGTTCAGGTTAGAGCTGAGTGAGGAGCACTTTTATACACCATTAAGTTTAATTAAGAAATATCAAGAATGAACCTCCATAACACCTCAGAAAGTCTATGATTCTGCTGGTCTGTTTTTTAAGTTATACGACCCCAATATTGGGGATTTCGTTATATCTTATATCTCTAAGATGCTTCCAGAGAATGAAGCCATAGATGCTTCATTATACACAATATCTGACTTGAAAAACACATTTTTTTTTTAGTCAGAGGGAGTAAAAGATGACAAATGATATAGTGGCAGAAATAGAGGTAATGCCAGTCAATATTAAAGTTGGTAAGAACACACTTTCTAGAAAACAAAACATACTTCCCCAGGAAACAAACTACCACTTTTCATTATTAGATCATATTTTATCATTTTTTATCATTTCACATGTATTTTTTTCATTTTTAGCCTAATGGAATTCTAAATGAAATTCTTTAAGACTCAGGAGGAACTAATGTGTTCTCAATAACATTAATGTATTCCTATGCACGTTCACTCCCTGGTAGCCACTTAATTTGGTTTCATTATACTACCATGTAAAGTTTCAAATTAAAATAAATTTAGTAATAGACACAGGTTCATGAAACACTAATTCATTCTGTCAGAAATACTAATTCATTCGTTCTCTTTTCATATGATTTTGAGGTTCCATTCTTCAATTTTTATTCAGCACTGTCCGATAACATTTGAATTTGACTACTGTATTATTACACTAGTTAGATAAGGAAAGAAAATTCAGTGCTACAATAGAAACTAATTTTTCCTAATTCAGGCACAAATAACCAATTTGTTTGCTATGTGCTGAAGAGAACTGTGATTTCAACCAACCTGTTCCTATTTGTAGCAGATCACTGCTTTACACAGACTACAGAATTTTTTTTCTGTCCATTATTCATTAAAGGTATTACAAATAATATTGTCAACACATACCTCAATACCCTGAAGTGGATCTACAGTCTGCAGATTTTATTCCCCCTTGAATATCTGGTTATGTCATCTCAGAGTTTAATATTCCATAAAACGCAACATCAAGAAAAACCAAATGCAGTTTTCACCTCCTCCTGACAGCAGGAGGTATTCCCACATTCAATTCAAACCAGTGAAGCACTTGAATCTATGTGCACAATTACAAAACCCATTCTTGGCTACCGTAAGGTTTTTATTTGAACACTTATGATAAGCCAATTTGGTCTAATGAATGGAATAATATTGCTCTACCTGAAAATTGCTACTCTTTTTTCAACTATACTCAATAGAATTATTTCTTAATCTACAATTAAGTGCAAACTCTACTGTTCTGTAGTCAAGATTTAAGATTTCAGCAGCAGTTGGTGCAAAAGGTATTGTTTAGTTTTTGACTCTTTTTAATTGGATCCTTGGAATAAAGTTTCCAATGGTTTAAAGAGGCCCACCCTAATTTTTTGACAGCAATTTAACTTTGTAGATGTAGTCCATTTTAAGCTAAATGGTTCTATGGTTTTCTGCCTCTCGTACCAAACACAGCAAAAAAAGGTGAAGAACATTGTATTTCTCCAAAATCTTGCAGCATATTAAACTTACGAACTGTATACATTCTCCTAAGCAATTCACTTGTCCACTAACAGCCAAAAGAGGCAACTTTCCTCCATTTACTCAATTATCGAAGCAGTAGCAGTCAGTCAAGCAGTCCATTAACAGAGCTGCAAGATCTACTCAATAAGACAGCTTGGAATACGGAAATATAAGAGATATTCTAAATATCTATGGACATTCTTTATCAACCATAAGATCCAAAATCATCTGGCTTCCATTCTAGTAGAATTTATCAAGAGCAATAGTGGTGATTTTATAAATTACTGTGTATATTCTGAAGTTTACTATTGAATTATAACCCATTAGTGCTTTGTGGGTAGTGCTATAAAACAGGGCAACAGCACCATGTTCTTTGTGAGGTTCAGTTCCTACCTTGAATATGCATGTTCAAGACTCAGAAAGTCAACTGAGAATTCTTTCAACATAAAAGGCTTTTTTGTAATTATAGAGTCAATAGTACCTGCCCCGACTCTCTACATTTCATTAGCTGGCGATTGGAAAGGCTGAAAAACAGATTTGATGCAGCAAGTAATGGATTGTGTTTGGTCCCCCAAAGATGTTAGGGCTAAAGAGTAACTTCTTGAATCCTCCTACTTAGCTCAAGACTGAGGCAACATGAGGCTTAAGCAATCTAAAACATTTCTGTTAATTCTTCTTTCTTAAATGAAAGTATTTTTGGAAGAAACAAAATGTAGCCCATAATACATATTTATCTTCCAGAATAGCTCAAATAGGAACTTGCTACACTTGTCTTGAATTCAAAACTCTGTATTCCACAGGAAGTAAATCACTTCAGCTAAATTTCACTTATGGCCATATTCTTAAGTAACTATCCTCAAAAAGAAAACAATTTTCATCTTCCAAATTGCCACAGCTAAGTACTCTGACAAGAACAAATGTGGCACTACAGATGTACTGAACAGTGCTGAAACCTGCCCCAGCACATGCACAGACAGACAACTGTGGCTGCTCCCTTCTCCACTCATTGTAGCTGAGTCACAGAAGGATGAACATAGCTGAGACATTTGCTTCGTAACTCCTGCTCCAGCTGGTAGACAAGACAGGACTGTCTTCCTGAAAGCATGTATCCTTGTATCCTATCTCATGTTTCTCCAGCCTTGAGGTTTGCCGAGCCTGATGATCAAGAATGGCATAAGATAGCAATGGACAACCTTGAGTCTGTATCTGCAGTGCTTTTGGTCAGTGAATATATGTTGGCTTGCACTGAAAATAATAATTTATAAATGAAATCATACACAACTAAATCACCCACAAATGCAATTTAAAAGCCTGGTTCACAAGAGGCAGAGTAACTCAATTTAAAATACAAAATGGAACAGAAGTAATTTTAATTAATTAATGGGGAATTGAGAAAAGCATCATTCTGGATAACTAGAAGATTACAGAATATTCAGGTATTTTCTCCTTTTAGGATACTGTCCTTAGCCAAACGCTGTAATGCACCACATGTCTAGCCAAGGTGTCCTCTGAGTTATCCTCTCCAGAGACCAACCAACACAAACAGACACTGAACAATTTCCTCTTTTCATATCTCTCTTTCCACTGCCCAATTATAACAGGTTAAGGAAAAACAACTGAAAATGATTTAATAATCTTTCTAAGCGCTGTCATTTGTAGTATACATTTCCTTCTTCAAAATACATCATCAAGAAAAAAAAAACAAGTTAATTACAAATTATAAATAATATTCTCTTGTAATATTCAAAAGAATTTTTAAGTGATACAGAGGAAGAGATTGTAACATTAATCAACGAAGCACACAAAGAAATGCCTAATGATATGTGTTGATGATAACTTACAAGCAGTACAGGAATCAATGAGAAAAGGTGCTATGCTGGACCAGGTCCTCCTCAATGAGGAGTGGCTGGTGAGTAACGTGATGCTCAAAGGCAGCCTTGGCTGTAGTGACCACAAAATGGTAGAGTTCAAAATCCTTCAGGTATCAAAGAGGTGGTGCAGCAAGCTTGCTACTCTGGACTTCAGGAGAGCAGACTTTGAACTCTTCAGAAAGCTGCTTGGCAGGGAGACATGGGAGAAAACCCTGGAGGGAAGAGGGGCCCAAGAAAGCTGGTCGGTACTGAAGGACCATTTCTCCCAAGCCCAGAATTGGTGCATCCCAAGAAAAAGAAAGGCACGCAAGAATTTCAGGAGGCCTCTGTGGATAAACAAGGAGCTCCGAAAGTACATAGGGAGTGGGAGGAAGAACAGGTTACCTGGGAGAACTACAAAGAAGTTGCCCAAGCAGCCTGGGATCAGGTTAGGAATGCCAAAACCCAGACAGATCTAAATCTAGCCAGGGACATAAAGGGAAATAAGAAGAAATTTTACCGGTATATCAGTGATAAAAAAGAAGGTCAGGGAAGATGTGGGCTCTCTCTGGAAGGAGACTGGAGACCAGCTCATGAGGGATATGGAAAAAGCTGAGGTGCTCAATGACATCTTTGCCTCAGCCTTCACCAGCAAGGGCTCTAGCCACATCACCAAAGATGCAAGAACTTGGAGAAGGAGCCTGCTGTAAGTGAAGATGAGGTTTGAGACCATCTAAAAATCCTGAAGGTGTACAAGCTTATTGGACCTGACAAGATTCATCTACGGATTCTGAGGGAACTGGCAGATGAAGCTGCCAAGCCAATGTCCGTCATATTTGAAAAGCCATGGAAGTCTGGTGAAGTTCCCACTGATTAAAAGGGGAAATATGACCCCCATTTTCAAGAAGGGTAAAAAAAAAGATCCAGGGAACTACAGGCCAGTCAGTCTCACCCCTGTGCCCGGGAAGAACATGGAGCAGATACTCCTGAAGGCCCTAGTATGGCACACAGAAAATAAAGATGAGGTGATTGGTGGTAACCAACATGGCTGCACCAAGGGCAAGTCCTGTCTGACAAACTTAGTGGCCTGTTATGATGGAGTTACAGCATCAGTGGATAGAGGAAGAGCAACTGACATCATCTACCTGGATTTGTGCAAGGTATTTGACACTGTCCTGCATGACATCCTGATCATCAAATTGGAGAAAAATTGAATTGATGGATGGACCACTCGCTGGATAAGGAATTGGCTGGATGGCTGCACTCAGAGTGTTGAGGTCAATGGCTGAATGTATAAGTGGAAACCAGTGAAGAGTGGCATTCCTCAGGGATTGGTGTGGGGAGTGATGTTATTTAACATCTTTGTAGGTGACACAGACAGTGGGATCAAGTGGGATGGAACAAGTTTGCAGACAACACCAAGCTGAGTGGTGCAGTGGAGCTAGAGGGAATGGATGCTATCCAGAGGGATCTGGACAGGCTTGAGAAGTGGGCTCATGACAACCTTATGAAATTCAATAAGGCCTAATGTAAGGTCCTGCATCTGGGAAAGAGCAAAACTGACTTGCAGAGCCTTCACTCAAACTGATGTTACTTTTTGATTCAAATAAAATACATGGCCATTTAGAGAAGTTACCTGGCTCTTCTGCAGGTTGCAGGCAGTAGTCTGATTCTTAAAATACTACCTGAATTCCATTGTATTACAATGAAAATAGTAAAATCTTTGAATTAAATTTATACACTCTTCAATGAATACAACTTCAAAGCTCTACATTTTGAAGAAAGAGAGCAAAGTCATCTACAACAGAGCCAGTACCTTGGCAGATCTTTTCTTCTGGTTTGCTGCAAGAGGCAGCTGAAAGGAGTGATGGCCTTACTGAGCTCCACGCAGATACCATGCCTGGTACAGTTCTTGTCCCCATTCCTCTTGACAAACAACAAAGCAGCAGCCACTGCTGGCAAGTTCTTACAGCTCATGTGAGCCTCAGTGCTTTCAAAACCACACAAATTAGTTTAGGATGTTTTTCATACTCTTCTATACAGGCCACATACTTATTTCCAGAATATGTGCAAGGGAGATGAGGCAGTGGCTGAGTTTTGCACTACGCAAGCATTTTTGACAATACTGTCTAGGTATTTATTGCTACACCAAAGCTTTCATTTAGGAAAGTTACATCAGTATAATACTCCAACCAGGACCAATACTCATTATATATTAATTACAAACCCAATATGTAAAATACAAATACTTTAAAATCTACAAGTTATTTTTACCGGAAGAGGCTACTAGAATACAGATTGTAAGAAGACCACATCTAGGATTATAACAACTTTTAAATCTAAAAGCAAGTCTTTAAAAAAAAAGTAACCATTGCAAGAGTGAGAATAACTAGGCAAACAGATCTGAGTAGCAGGTGACCAATTAGTTTGTACTCAGAGCTGAAATCAATTGCATAAGCACATTAGGAGAAAACTAGAATTACAGTAAACACAAAAGCTACCAAAGCCAAGGATTAAGAGGAATTTTGTCAGCTTTTAGAAGAATTAGCAGCAGAACAACAACTCTATGGACAAGTGCCAGAAATCTGGCAGAGCACAGTCTCTCATAGAGTCTCAGAGCACAAACTCTCATAGTAATGGATGTGAATACTTGTTATGTGTGTTTAATTCCATCACAAAACTTGAGAAAACAATACCTGGCTTGAAATTTTATTATCAACTTTGTGTTACATGTATGTTTTCTGAAGTCATTCACATTCACCTGTTCCTATTACAACTTGAGCTAAAGCAAAGTTCTCCTGGAGCCTTCCTCTAGTATATTTAAAAAATATATATATTTTGAAACAGGCAAAGCAATAGATGCATTTCTATTCTGGGTACCAATTAACCTTATAATTTTCTTCTAATATCAATATTTCATGGCTAAATTTGCAATCAACTATTGGAATCAGTTTTCAGGACTGTTTTCACATGCAGTGAGTTAATATAGCCCATGTAAAAATATGATGGGCTGCTTCACTTTATGATCTAAAATCAGTTATTCAAAAGATTCCTCTCTGCTTATTAATTAAGAAGGGTAATTAAGTAGTTTAGGGTATAAAACATCACTCATACTTTGACAGACCTTTGCTGAGCTGATTTTTTAAGTTACAAGTTTAAGACCAATTCATTTAAAGGCACTAGAAAGCACAACTCGCTAACAGTCCATGCTTGGCTCACTTCCAAGAAACAGTAATTTCCAACTAAGAGATCATAAACACCATGCAATCCAAAAACAGCTGCACAGAACAGTAGCAAGGCCATGCAGAGCTGACACAGTCAGAAGGTTATTGAAGAATACACACGTGAATTCATACATGGAAGTCATCCAGGTTGGTGTAGTAAAGCTAGGCATTTGTGGAAGATTAAGAGGCAAACTTGGAACTTTTGGAAGAGCTACATTAGGAAGACTGTTGGTGATGCTCCTGTGAAAAAATAAATAATGTAGGAATACAATAAAAAATAGAATATTTAGAGGACAGCAGAGGACAACACCTGATAAGACAGAAAGCTGTAGTGCTTTGCAGAAATACTGTAGAAAGCACTTACTTGACAGGTTGCCACGACTCTTGTTCAAGACCTCTGTGAATGGACTGGGCAATTGATGATTCCATGAGGTCAATGTAGCGGATGACCATGGGAACAAAAATTTCTTGCAAGTGCTTGTGAAACTTTCCATTGCACAAAAATGCTTTAAAAAGAAAGAAAACAGAAATAAATATGTCAGGTCTTTCCCTCATTTATTTTGCAACAGGAAAAAGTACCTCTTAAAATGTTTTAAAATACAAAAATATTATAAGAATAAATATAGTGCGATCCAGCCTGTGTAGTAAGTACCGTACATAAAAAAAAAACAAAACATGTTCATCATGAGGGCTTTGCAGACCATATTTAGATGCCACTGTTATGAAAACTAGGCGCATATGTAAGTTCTTTCTTGAGCCAGATCACTTCTGTATCTCCTTAAAGTATATTTTGCTAAATCTAAGCCTTAGTCATTTTGTTCAACAGAACCAAAATAAATAAATTTCAGTGATATTCAATCATTTGCATTCTCTTTATGCTAAGAACAAAGGCTACAATAAAACATTTCAGCTTCAGTAGTTTGCTGTACTGCTTTCAGCTGGGACATGATGGTGCTTTGGCTTTGGGAGAAAAACAATGGTGATAACACACCAATGTTTAGTTGTTACTGAGCAGTACTGCACAGAGCCAGGAATATTTGCATTTCTCATACTGTCCCGACAGGGCTGAGGGGGCACAGGGAGTTGGGAGGGGACAGAAATACAACAGCTGACCTAAACTGGCCAAAGGAATATTCCATACCATATGACAGCATGTTAAAAAAACATAAAACTGAGGAGTGTTGGCCAATGGCTGCTGCTTAAGGACTGGTTGGGCATCGGTCAGCGGGTAGTAAGGAATAGTTTTGTGCATCGCTTATTTGGTGAATATATATTATACTATTACACTTACTATTATTCTGCTTTTCTCTTCTTCTGTCTTAGAAAATAGTTTTTATCTCAACTCATAAGTTCTACTTTGATGTTTTTTTTTCTCATTCTCTCCCCCATTCCACTGGGGGTGGGGGAAGTGAGCGAACAACTGTGTGGCGCTGAGCTACCTGCTAGGTTAAACCACAACAGCTATGTGCAAAAATATAGTGAAATACAGCCTTTTCTTCAGAGAACTCGTAAGAAAAAGATAACATGTGACATAGGAGTATTTGTGGGAATAAGAACAGTTTATCCATCTGGTTTATGTCCTCAAGAGCTAGCAAAGTCCTGAATCAATTCCTGTACCTACATGGAACATTTCATGATCTCTGGAATAGACAAATAAGTCTTAGTGTGTATATGTATGCCAAGAGCTGGTCAGCATGCCAGAATTCACCACCAGAATTCTTCCTTTTCTGATCCTGAAATACACATAAACATAAAACAGACCCATGAACCAAAAGTACATCCTTTCCAGTTTGTGTTCATGTGAAACTCATTCCCATGAGCCATACTTGTCTCTCTTCTGCCTTCTCAACTACCTTACAAAATTTGTAAGGATGTGAACTCTGCTTCCCTTCTGGAAGACTGCCTATACTCAGGTATGATCACCTCCAATTTTACAGTCATTGTAGTTTTATAAAGGAAATCCTGAAAACTAGTTGTTGGAAATGCTCAGGAAAGCTAATGACATATAACACTGCTAGAGGCTTTTTCTTTATTTTTGAAAGAAGCAGAGTCAATTTGTGGGGGATACTATAAGGATGAAGTGCATTTCTCAAGAGAAGTAAAGCAGCAACAAGGTGTAGAAAATTATCTGCTCCACAGATGGGATTTACTGCATGAAAAACTATGCAGACAATGTAAACTGAAGATACTCAAAATTTAAAAATAAGTTTGCCATCACTACTATTTGTTCTGATAGTCCTTACAATGTTCTTTAGTAAAGTCTCATCTTCACTGTAACTACAGTCTGCCCCACCAAGGGACTATATTGGTTTCATGTTTTGGATGTCTGTATTCACCCACTAATCTAGTACTATTACTACGATCTGTAATGATATTCCCATGTGTCATGTAGGCAAGCTGAGTCACAATGAGAAATTTTCATGATTTTGCTTTCTCTTACTGTTACGTGTTTTACATTCTCTTGTGCATTCAGCTTCAGCTTTCTCTTCAGCTCAGTGTGCTTCAGGCTTGAGTTCACTCACCCTTTATATCTTAAGCAACCAAACACTTCAGATGGAAAGGCACTGGTAGCAGCTACCGTCTCTAGGGAAAGCATTTGCGTCTTTCCCTGTATGGCTTCTGGGTTTCTCCTCTTACTTATCTCTGCCTCCAAACTTCTCATTTGACATGGATGGGTACCTCAGTTGCATTTTGAGGAGGCCTCTTCTTCCTAAGAGTAAAAGGCTAGATCATGTGGCTCAAAACCCTGGAATCCATTTCACGAAGATATAAACTCCTCTTGTTCTAGTTCACTACTGTAACTCCATGTGTGACATGCAAAAATAGTATCTGTAATTTACAAAACTCCTTTGTTTCCTCTTTATGATTAATGTTTACCACAGACAGAATCTAGGGAGATGAAGACTATGGAGAAAGTGTGTCTTCAAGTTTTATTTTCTTATTTTTACTTGCACTGCAGGGAAACACCTTTATTTCTGGATACTATTTTCTTTATAACATTCTTGCAGAATTGGGAAATTATGTATCAATCACTTTTTCCTAAGGAGAGAAGATTGATGAGATCGTCATTCTTTCATTTGTCCACCTGCTTCTCTCTTCCTAAGAATTTTAATACTTATAGCTAATTTCAGTGTTATATGGAAACAAGGGTAGAGATCTCCATTATATCAAGCCTCATGAAAACAGGCAGCTAGGTAACAGACAGAGATTGTTAGGGTTTCTGCAGAGAAAAAGGCAGCAGCATAGGCTTGTCTCTTACTGAACCCCTGAGAATCCACCCTGGAGAACACCTATCAGCCCATTACAAACATGCTCCATTATTTACACTGCTCACAGAAGTACTTGTTATCTAGCTAGTTCTGGCATAATTAATTGCATATCAGGCTTTCAAAGCTGTGTTGTTTTTCCCTTGTATTTATATATCTTAAAAATGCAGCATCTGTACCCAGCAATAGCAACAACTGAGAAGGATTTGGATATTAACACAAAGATGTGGAAGCTTGCCCACACATCAAGTGTTTCACAGTAAACAGCTGATGAACATTGCCTTTGAGAAACAAAAGGTGGCAGGTATCAAGGTACATACAAGGTTGATTTTTTAAGGCTACTTTGAGCTTAAAAACAACAACAAGAACACAATAGTGTCAATTAAGTCAATATTGCTGCTTTTCAGCGAATCATTTAAGGATGGGCATTAATCAGGCAATCACAGTTACCTGAGAGGATGAGCCTGTAGCTCACTGTTTTCTGAACACACCGCAGAAATGCTCTGCTGCAAGATCTGCTTGGGGAATTACAGTAATAGAGCCTCATGGGCAGGAGCGCAGCTCTTGTTATTCAGAAGTCAGAATGAAATTTAAAGAAGTCACAAGCAATAAAAGCTGTTCAACTTAGAAAGCTGAATCATTTTCTAACATCCTGACATCAATCTTTGCAGGGAAATGAAACTACCTAAACAGACGCCAAGATGCTTAATCTGACTGCACTCCAAGCAGATCGCTCTGTATGTGGGCACACACATGCAAGTGCTATCTTGGATGAACAACTCTGTGAGCATTCTGTTTTCCCAGAGTTGAGGATGTGACAGATTTGATTTACCCATATGGAGATTTCAAGGATTACAGTAGGGGAGGGAAAGAACTCAGAGCCCAGGAGTGAGTGACGAAGATGAGTATTACCAGCAAACTCATGGCACTCCACCCTGTGATTAGAATTGATCTTGCCAACAGGTACCACCTGTGCATCTAAGCAGATGGGAAACAAGAGATCCTTGAGGTAATGCCACACTTCAAAACCCTCAACTACCACTTCTCTTCAAAGCTACATAGCTTAATTCTCTGTCATCTTGTCAATATAGATGCCCCACGTGCTCTTCATGTGAACCATCTCATGTTCACACAAACAACAACAAAATGAAACTCTGTGCCAGGGCAAGGTAATGTGTGTACAATATTAAGGGGAAAAGGATTGTGGGAACAGAAACATCTCCCAGTAAGAAGTACTAGAAATACTGGAGTTGAAAGTTATTCAACTGTTACATAGTTGAAAAATGCTAAAACATGACATGAAAAGATCAGAGGTGGAAAGCACAGTGTAACAACACAGCTCTGGAATAAGGTTCCTCTTCTAACAGTGGAAAATAATCTGTGGTTCTTACATACATTAGAAACTTTGGGACTTGTTTTCATTTTATCCATGCAGTTTTGGGAGTTATTCTAGAGCCAGTGTGGCAAGTTGTCCTCAAGAGCTTCTCCAGAATCAAAGGTAAGGGAAGAATGAAACATGTTATCACGGGTCTCTGCACCAGTGGCAAAATCAGCACTTTGGAAGAATCTGCTATCACCCCTCTTTATATGACTCTCAGGAAGGCACCACTTGGCTTTCCTGATGTATTTTAAAATCCAATTTAAAAAGAGTAAATTTCAAGAAGAAGGTTTCCTTGGGGCTCCATATTCTATCTGTAGCAGTTGAAAATCATCCAATCCACTGAAAGAAGTTGATATTTCAATCTGCTTATTGTTTATAGTTCGTTCTGCCTCCACAGAGCACTTGTTAATCAGTTATTTGAATTCTAGCAAAAATTGAGAGTGTCTCAGCTTATATTCTAAATGCTACGCATTTTGCCATATGAGACATACTTTAGAAATGCATTTTAGAGACAAGCTATGTGGAAGTAAGCTGTAAACTTACTTGAGGAGCAAAATTTTCACCCTCCCCCTCCCACCCCAGAATATCAGCAATGAAACTGCAAAGAATTTCATCTTTACTAGACAAAGGGACACAAATGGCTTATTGCAGATTTATTTATTATTACATTTTGTTCCTAAAACTATCATTCAGCCAGAAAGGATATTCTAGTAAGCAGTTTTATGGTCTCAGTTAGCTGTCAGTATTTACAAAACTGCAGCCCAAAACTGAAGGTAGGTTATCATTTCAAAACATCTCCTAACAGGACTGAGCAAAAATCCTAGGTCTCTTTTTTAGAAAAGAGTCTCATTACAATTAATGAAAAAATGTAGAGTTTGACGAGAGAAGGATCTTTTTGGGCTTGCCCTGAATACCTTAAATCTAAATTGTTCTCTATTTACACAGTACAGTTTAAGATGGGAGCTGTGATGGTATATTTAATTTCTAGTACAAAAGTGGTACACAGCCTGTAACCAAGCAAGAAGAGGATGCTGAGTTTACTGACATTTGCCACACTGCTGCTATTAACAGCAATACTGGAAAATGAAAAAAAAAAAACATATCAAAGAGCTCCAGTTTTAAATTATTAGCCAAGATAATGGCAATAGTTTTCAAGACCCTAAATTTCAACATGCAGCTTTTTCAAAGTCAGCTTTATCAGACAGATGTGCCCTAGCTGACTTAGAGCAGGTACGCAGGTATTTCACTAGTGATACTCAGTGAAAGAGAGGTTATGAGTTAACTTTAAAATACTTCTAGTTTTGTTTGATTTTTGCCAGTGTTCATCACAAAGCACTAATGCAATATTGCTGAGCAACAGTACAGTCTATGATAACAGTAAATGATGCAGGTAAAATTCATTAGAATGGAAACAGAACTTGGAAAGAAAAGGAGCAGAACACTGAAATATACAGTTAAGATACCTATAACATTAGCTAAATATAAAAACACTTGATGGAATTGTGCATGTGCCAGTAAAAGATATCTCTGATTATGTTAATCAAGAGAAACTGAGATATTTTCTTGAAGCACTAAAAAAAGTGATTAATATGAATAATTAAACACAGAATCTAAATAATCCTCTGAAAGCAGTCCCTTTCATAATATAATTAATAGCCTCAGTGGAGAAAAAGTAACATCTACATTACTGAAAAAAAGTCCCGGGACATATAGTTCTGAGACAATCATGGATTTCTTCCATGAAATTCTATGAAATTCTGGAAAAAATAATTCTGTTATCATAGAGAGATATTGGGTACAGCTAAGTCTGTACCATCTGCAAAGCTTTACACAGTCAGGCACAACTGAGTATCAACAATTGAAACTTTGGAGATCACAAACATTTATATTATAGAAGTAGCTACAGCATTTTTTGCAAACATTCAGATTTTGAAAATTCACAACAAATTTATCTACAATCTATTATCCATCTCTACAGTACATGTCACTTTGTTATCCCTCTTTGTTGCTTGACAGCTCCTCTCAGAAAAGCTGCAGCATTTTAAAGGATAGGAAGATCATATTCCTTGATCCATTTAAAAAAGTCAGACTTCATTGGTTAGACTTAGAGCAACATGACAATCAATAATGAACGCAGAACAAGCTTCTTAATTTCTGTGGCCAGAAAAGGTGGAAAAGCTTCAAGTGACTCAGAGTGGAATCCTTCATAATAGAAATGTGAAGCAAGCTTGAATCAGGACTTCCCTCTCCTTTTAATGCAAGAAAACTTACTTAATGGGAAATATGGTTCTATGATTCTTTTTTTTTTTTTTTTTTCTTTCCTTAATGTCAAATGAATGCTGTATTTTAATCACTTGGCTTCAATTATATACAATGTTTTTTATTCTACTTAAACAACTGATATATTTCAGTGGTAAAGTCTATGTATTTTTATTATCGCACACTATTTCTAATACTGTATTTTAGTGACACAGTTATAAAAATAACCATGCAATGAAATTTCACTTTAATGCTGTAAATGTTAGAGCGTTTCTTTATTGTTAGGAGTTTGCTCATGTCAGGTTTGCATGAAAACTAACTCCTGCACTGAATATTTTGAGCTCATTTAAAGCTCTTGAGCTAGAGATAGAATAACACGCAGGTGCCCGTTCTCCAAATTTCACTGAAGATTAACCTAATATACAATATGGTGACCTAACAGTTCTTCATTTGAAAGAAATCTGAAAAGTAATCTCTGATATAGCCGAAGAGTGAGAATAACCCAGTGGGATTTCCACCTCTTCATTTCCTAATGAGTTTTTTGATAATGAGAGGTGACTTTGCCAGTCACTGTGGGCTCTATTATGGCTAATTTACTCCACTTCACTCTCCTTGTTAATTATTAGCACTAGCCTTTTTATCCTCATGAGGCCACATTCCAGTTTTTCCCTTTTTAGATTTTTTCTAAATCTATCTTTATGAAGGTGATAGTTTCCAGGAAAAGGTTTTCACTTAGAGTACAGCCAGAATTATTTATTTCACTTTGAAAGACTGTAAAATTGATTATATAAGCATGGGGAGCTATTTCTAGTGGCTTTAATGTACTTGCAAGGTGAAAAGGCTGTTAATTAAAGAATAAGCACTGTGGTTATGTTTCACTTGGGAATCAGTTCTTGGTAGAATGGTCAGTTGCCACTTGCTGACATACCCACTGATTAAAAGGTGACTAATTTCCACGGTTGCTTTCCAATAGTTACATGGAAAAAAAAAGAGAGTCTAATTTTCCAGATGGTTTCCACTCACCAGAAACTGTCATTTACTATATCTATTACCTCTAGGGAATTACTGAAATTGGTATACAGGTGTGACATTTTAGATAGCAATCGTTTCAGCTAAGGTTTTAAAATCTTGCTAATAATTGCTTTGACATGAAAAAATATTTACTTGATTTTCTATAAAATGTCTTCCCCAAGGCTGACTGAATCATTTAGCATTATTATCTGTGTAATCTTTTAAGGAAAGAAAAATCAGTAGAAAAATCTCAATTGCTCAGATCCAGAATGCTATCTCAAACCCATGGATTAAGAAACTATAAGAAGTCAGAAACTATTAAGAAACGAATAAACTATTAGACCTCACAACATCTAGTTTTTCTTCGGACTTTGTACTCCAGGAGAATCTAGAACCTTTCAGTTGAAACCAGTTTATTAGCCAGAAACTAGGAATGACTGGAATAGCATCCAATACCAACACCTATGAAGCTAAATGAAGATGCTGAAAACACTGGAAGAGACATTATGCCAACAGAGGAGAGATGAATTTGCAGCTTTGTAGGCCCTTAGTTTGAGGGAATCTTTGAGTACAGGACATATCTTTCTCTTTGATGTAGTTCACCTTATGAGTTTCAACTTCAGAACTTGGTAATAGTCCAGAAATGGTTGCTTGTGCTTACTAGTTCCTAATGGCTCTTTCCCCATTAATGCACTTCTTTTTTTTTTTTCCCCTAAATGTCTAATTCCCACTGTACCCTGGGTAAAGGCTTCAGATATTGAATGAGGATTTTAGATCTTATGCAGAGAATCAGACAACCATGTAAACTAATGTGTGCCTGACCCTTTTATGAAAATTGAATTGATTCCTGCACACTCCTGAGCAGCTTTCTAAATCAAGCATAAATTGGCCATTAGCAGAGAAATTTTGCATAGTTTGTCCAAAAAAAGTACCCAGATCAACAATTCCCAAGAATCTGTAATTTTCTTTCACTAGGACAATGTGCCAAAAAAGGAAATAATCTGGAATATGGCATGACACGTTATGATCTGCCAGAGTAAGGAGAGGTATTTCATGACAACATACATCTAAGACTGGATGCTAAAGTTCTCTTACTCTGCCCAGACCACATCCAATGTGTTGCAGTAACAGTGACCCTCAACAATCCAGTCTGATGTTCAGCTTTAGTTCAGTAGCCCTGCCCGTTTCCCTTCATGAAAGCAGTCATCTACTGTTACAGTGAACCTTTGCTACTTGTTCCATTTCATGGTATGTTGCTGGGGCCAACAGGGACTAAACTGAGGTGACCTAGATATTTCAGTGAAGACTTGGCAGCTAAGGGTAACAATATACAACAATAAACAACAAAGATTGAAACCTGTCACCTTGGAGAAAAGCTCCTGAATGCTATTTTCCTTCTGTCACGCTGTTTCCATAGGTGGAGCTAAAATTATTGAAAGCTATGGAACTTCTACAGAGTGAAATAGATTTGCCAGGGAAAGTTAAAATTGATTGCTTGTATTTACAATAATAAAAGATTCAAAATTCAGAATAACTTCAATAATTGAATTTCTATTTGTATCTCCAAAACAGTAAAGAAAACCCAACAGGTAATTTTGTCATTTTTAAACAATACACATTGAATGTGAATACACATATAGATGAACACAAATATATATTATTTGTATGTATATAAATACATATATAAAATATATTTTTTCTTTATGGCACCCTAAAATGTTAGGACTTTTTTTCTGTAAAATAAAGTGCAATTTGATGTTTCTAAAATAGTATCTATTCAATTTTCTTGGGTTTCATTGATCATTTCCTTAATTCTGCTACTAAAATTACTTGCACACAAAACATTCCTAAGCTTTTACAAAAACAAAGATTTGCTCTTTGAAGGCAAATTAAAGCAAGGTAAGAAGTCTTGATCACCAGCTTAAATCATGACACAACAATGAACAAAGTGAAAATAACACTGTCCTCCTGTGTATATCTAACCCCATTTGTGATATGCCTACAAAAGTTTTACAACATAGAAACTGGTCTGAAAGTAGTTTTTATGAAAGCTTAGAAGGAAGAATTAAATACATATTACGCTGCTTGTACATCATTGATTTAAAACCAAGCAATTGGTTGTGATGAATAACCCAGAATAAATGGTGCAAATAGGAAGAAAATGCACACAATAAGCAAAAACCTGAAGATCTTACTATCATTTCTGAGGGAGTTATTCAGCAGCTGGAAAAGTGGGAAGCTGTCCCAGGAGTCCTGTGGCTGTGCTTCAAGTGCCGAATCCATATCAACAGAATAAAGAGACAAAAACTTCTCTGCATGTTCAGCCAATAATTCTGGCCACCAAGAGAATGCCTGCAAATGCGACAAAATACAATTACAAGTCGTAAAGCAAAAAGATGTACTGTATAATACATTTGGATATTTCACTTCACCTCTGTCTTATTCAGAAGGGATAAAATGGCCTTGTGAAAAATGTGAAAATATTTTGGAAGTCTTTGCATCAATAATATAAGAAAGCAAATAGATTATGCTGGGAAAGACAACAGAGTCAGAATGAGATTAGAAAACAAAGAATCAAAAGCAACCTTTCCTACTACAAGACTTGCCAAGAACTCCATTGGAAAAGGACTATAAATCCTGCAACTCCTTTTGCCAAGAGAAAGAAAAGAACAAAGGACTATATGTTATCAGATTGGTTTATTTTTCAAATAATTTCTCTATGTACATTTTGCTCTTATTTGCTCATCAGAAGGGATGGACTGAACATGAAACATTATTCCTCAAAGTCTAGGAGTTTTTTAATAAACAGAATATTTTTAAATTCCTATTTTTGTCTTAAATATATCAGCTTCTCCTGAGGAAAGCATGCTGTTTCCCTTCATCAAATGTTTCTCCTGAATTTCACAAATGTTTCTATTAACTTTCAGCAACTTCAGAACTTGTTAGAAAATTGATAAAAATGAAGATTCTTAGGTAAGGTTAGCTTACAGATGAAACTTGTGAAAAGTAGTGTGTCATCAAGTAAAGCCAGCTTTACATTAAAAGCCGCCTGATATGTAACTCTTGTAACTTATAACTGTCATTTAAATCTAGGGTTTGAAACTGAATCAAAGGAATCCATATGTTAAAGATGAAGTAAGCTTATGAAATGGGATGAATACCACACACTGCTGAGAGTGTTTTGTTCAGAGAAAACACAGTGATCAGAAATGCCTACACATGCTAGATAAGAAAGTGTCTTTCAAACTAACGTTCCTATCATGATGAATATTTTTGAGTTATCCATCTGGGATGTGCGTAGCTTAAGCTACACAAGTGCTGAGTTGCCACAGCATCTAATAATTTCACAGAAATCATCGCTTGTATTTCTGAAATGCACATCCCAGACATGCAGAATGATCTGCTCAGTCCGGAAGGGGATCAAATAAGAGACAACCTCTACAGGTATGTTCTTGCCTCTTCAACTCTCTGATGGATTCCGACTTTTTTGATATGGGGTGGATAACTGCAGCTTAAATGCGGAAAAGATGAAGTGGCAAATGGTTTTAAAAAAATGCTCAGCAGGCTGGAAGTATTACTGAAGGACACTTGGTGTGCTGCAGTGTCAGGACTTAAGGACACTGGCATCACAGTGAAAAGAGCAGACGAGGCTTCAAAAATTTTGGCAAGAGCTTGAAGTGGGGTTTTTTCTTCAAACTGGAGGAAGTTTCTCATTAGTAAATCCTGTTTAAGTGGAAGCATTATTATTACTCTAGAAAATAAGCAAACGCAAAGAAATAAGGATAGAAGAAAAGTTACACATAGCCTTTATTAGGTGTCCCTTTTAGGCAAACAAAATTCCTTCTCAAAAATATTGTCAGAAAATCAAAGCAAAAAAAGAAAACCCCAAACCTGAGCAAAACAACACATTCTTTTTCCATCTTCCTCCTCTTCGCAAATGACGCCTTGAATCAAAACAGAAATTATTCTGACCCTCTCAAGAACTACTCATCACCATGTAGGCAGCAAGTAAGAAGAACAGAATAACAAAAACCACAGCTAAGATTGTTCTTCAGTCACTATGGATAATATGAAAAGGCTAAAGACAATTAGCCATTGGTGACACTCATTCTATACAGCAATAGCACTGACATCATTAGAGGAAGACCAAAGAGCTGAGATTACAGAATGACACGCAAGTGTAGCAACAAAACACCAGAAATCATCAGATCAATTCATGCTATACATTCAACGCACAGTTCCATGCTCTAAATGGTGAAAAATAATGAATCATTGAGTCACGTACCTCTCTTCCCTTTGGAAATCCCAGAAATTTGGAAGTGTTGTGAATAAAAAAAAATCTAGTATTACAAAATGTGATAAACTTCTAGAGAGTTTGAGAATTTTAGAGATTTCTGATCCTTTTCATCCACTGCACTGAACAATTACTTAACATTACAATGTGAAGTCACCGTACCTAACCTTCTGTTTTGAGTGGGGAATGTATGATTTTTGTGATCTTTTTCTCATACATATTTTAAAACTGAAATTCTTCATGTTCTATAAATTCCAGTAAAATTGAACATATGTCACATGAATCAGGGAAGGGGGATATAATCTCAAAATTCCCTTTATTTCTCTCAAACTGATTCAGATTGAAAACTTCTTCTGAACTGATTTTTCTGAAGGTACATGCAATTTATATTTGCCCTTCCAGAAAATACATCCCTGAATGCAAGTTACTAATGTGAACAGTGATTTTTGAACAGAGATGTTTAATCATACTTGTATCATTTGATTTGTTTCCTTTGTGCTCTTTTCCATAGAATTATAACATTCTTACATTAATGTAGAATTTGTCTCAAAAGACAAAGTCAACAATATATATATATTTATTAAGTAATCATTACAGAGTAGCACAGTGGCAACAGTAGTGTAGAATGGGATCTCCAGGGAATTAATTTCAAATCATTGAAACAGCTGTTTCTTCATTGTAAGATAAAATATCTCTAACAAGTTCACACATGACAGATGTAGGCTAAAAACTAGATTTGGTAGTGTGATATAAAACCAGATGTTTTGAATGATCATATTTTTAACTATATATACTAAATCATGTTTATCTTTTTGTGCATTTTCCTCAAAAATATTTATTGATTTTCTGAGAACATTTTAGAAACAATTTCCTGAACCTTAGAAAACTATTCATTATGTGTTAATAATATATACAATTATAGGTACCTGGTCAAGTTTATTTTTGTAGTACCTTGATATAAAAGGTGCTGTAATTCTAAATTTTCTAAATATTATGGTTTTTTTATCAAAAAGGAAAAGACTTGATAGTAAGAAACACAAAATTATTCAGTTTTTTTTTCTACTTAAAAATGCCATTTTGAAAAGGGCAAGTTTAAAAGCAGTACTATTCTAATCAACAGAAAAGCAACGGGAATGTGATAATTATACCCACCATAATTTTAATGTTGAAATCAAAACCTAAACAGCACGATGGATTCATGCTACCTTCAGCTACATTTTCTTCCTATTTTGAGTGACAGGTGAAAAGTTGGAAGGAACAACTGCATAAGGCTATGAATGTTTTCCATACCATTTCACAACCTCCAGCACAAAGATGTTTTCTGTATTTTATGCTCTTTACTTTTTGTTTCTATACCTACAGTTCATTCAAGCGATTCAAGTAGAGTTGTATTTCACTTCACTTTTCATAAGCTTCAAGTCCCTTATTTCTCTGTAAATGTGAACTGCCTTAAACATATGTCAGAGAGTAAAGCTAAAATGTTTCTTGACAGAATTGCTTCACATCAGGGCAGAAAAAATGTAGGAACAAACCATTCTCTACAGTTACAGCCTCACCTCTGAATGATGTTCTTCATTTTGCTGCAGTACTTCGATACAGAGCTCTGCAAGGTGAAGAACCTCTTCCAGTTTTCTAGCAGGTGTTGCTTGGCTCATGGCCTCTACATGAATACAAAAAAGCAAACTGATATTGCTTTAGTTTGAAATAAATACGTTTCTCTATAGTAAGGGAAAATGTTGTCTGAATGGAAGTTACAATTTTCTGAAGTATAAGCAATTTCACATGTTGAGAATGATCATTTAACATATGTAAAAGCTACTGAATGCCCAAATCACTTGAAAGAGAAAACATTTATTTCACAAAAGAATCAGTGATCATTATAAACATTATCTAATTTGATATGTGAGAACTAACAGGTGTACCAATGTATTAGTTGCACAACTTCTGCAACAAACAAGTTCTAATTCTCTTCAAGGCCATAGACAGAAAGACAGCAGGCACTCAAGACCTTTTCTGTTATTGTACTGTTGGTACAATACATTCTCACCAGATGACTCATTATAGTCCTCAGTATTCATGCATTTTGCAGCAGTCAAAATTTTCGAATATGTTTTATCTAAGACTCTACATTTGAGGCATATTTAAAAATAAGCAAAGTGCAAAACAATGACTATATAAATAACTATTATTGAAATCATTTCTCTAACTTACTACGTGCTGTTCACTTACAGAATTTAATCTATTCAGTATCATAATAAAAAATAGCACAATAAAATAAAGACGTTATAACAGAATTGACATAAGCCTACTAAAAACATATTCATAACAGAAAATAAAGACAAATGGAAAAGTTACAAATGACATTAGGAGCATTCACTCTACACAGCAGATTTCAAAAAGAAAGCAAACAACAAAGCTAAAACAAATGTAACTAAAAATCTTATAAAGCAATTTAAGTCAGTTCACTTTAAAATTAAAAAGTCACAGGACTACATTACAGGCATAGCCATGAGAGACAAGTGAAAAAGAACTGAATCTTCTACAAGCATAGCTTAATTATTGACAGTAATTGTTCCAGGTACACATTTTTTATCCCTTGAAAGAATTTCAGTATTATGTACATGAGGTTGTTCACAAACTTCCTGTCCCAGACCATAAGCCATAAAATGGCAATGATGACACACAATATAGTAGGAGTAATGAAAGACACACAGTTACATGCAAACATTTCTCCTGGTATTTTTTTCCTTCCCGCTTTATGCATCCATAATGACCTAGAACATTATCAGATTAATTAAAAAACTTACACTATCCCCTAGCTGTCAGTAAGAATCAAACTGTATGCACTAAGCATATTTATACACTTTCTGGCAAGTCAAAACAACTTTTCAGACATCCGAAAGGCAGGCGACCTTGTCCAATTCTTCAAGGCTAACACACTGATGCACAGTATCTTCATGAGATGGAGCTTTAATGTAAATCCAGAAACACTGGATTAGAATCTCCAGCAAACATACACTTAAAGGTGACTATAACAGCAAATTATCCTAATGCCAACAACAAACTGAACAGTTTAGTTACTGAAGTATCTAAAAACAAACTTCAAAGCTCACTGAAATACTCCATAAAAGCAGACCTATTCATATAGTAAGATTTCCAAACCCATAATCTAACTAAAGAGTTATAAATGTGGACTAAGCACAAGGCACATACCAGGACACAAAACTACATTCACTGTGTCAACATCAAGGTCATTAATATTGCATTGAATTCACAAATTTGATACTCTAGAACAGTTTAGATGAATATAACCTTCAGTGAGTTCAGAAAGGATTGCTTCAGCCATTACCAGGTTACAACATACAGACCACTACTGGATTCAGTCTTAAACTTGTTTATGTGTTTCATGTAAGACAGAAACTGCTGTTTATAGTGGTCACTGTTTTCCTCTCCTTGCAAACATGGCAAAAACGATTCATATGGCTGATACATCGGTATCTGTACCATTGATGTTAATGAGTTTTAGGAAGAAACCACTGATAATAATACAGAGTGGCAAATCTGATTTCAGTATAAACAACTCATTTTTTTAAGGATCAGCCTGTCATAGATCTTACCACTAAGTAAGCAAAATAATTGCTTTTATAATTGTATCAATTTGTAATGACATTAAGCAAGCTTTACATTATTAAAAAAACTATATCCTAAAAAGGCTTTCTCTAAATTAGAAAATAATTCTAATAATTATATCAAATCTGATTTTCCATTGTTGTTTTGGAGTAGGCTTACTTGTTACACCTGGCATAAGCTCAATATAACCTAGAACTGATTACTGAACAGACATCATTATCATCAGAGATAGCTGGAAAGATCAGAGATTTACTAGCTAATGTTAAGATTATCCTGAACTATCCCTATGATAAGATCATGAGGAAAGAAATATGGTCTCACTGAAGTATTAATGTCATTGAGCAAGCACTGGGGAAATACAAAAATCATCTGAGCCGAAATTACGAATTTCAATTAGAAATGGCATTGAAAGGAGAAGTGGGAATGGCAACTTTTTGGTTTGTTGGTTCCTTGTTTTGTTTTACATGCATAAGAAGTCTAACTGAATGACAGAAGAGAGAGGGGATCAGGAATGCTCCCACACGAGCATCGGATTGATAAACACTGTGAAAGGAGAAGACCTATTTATGGTCGAAGACGATGTTGGCATAAAAATAAATCAGTCATCACGAGTTAATCAAGCCAGAAATTGCAAGGATTTATTATGGGACTAATGTCAGGAGTAATTTTTCAATAGGATCAGTGTGTAGAGAAGAGGTCAAGGAAACCTCAGTTTCCTTCTCAGGTATACATAACAAATTTCTAAATGATGTTGCATGGCAGGAATGCCCAAGAATGTGGGAGAAATTAAGCTCCCTGAATTATAAGTCTCACATTTGCATGAAATTCTCAGTGTATTTTTGAAACTATCTTCTACTTGCTAAAAACATGCAAATTACTCTTGATGCTTTATACAGCTTTCAGTATTTTTAAAAATAATTATATTTCAATCATCAAATTTAGTTAGGAATGCTGTAGATAATTGCCTTCATTCTGTATCCTTGGAAAAATCTCTCTTATTTTTTTGTTTACTATTTCACATAGTAAATTGATATAGGCAATCTCGCTTGCATTGTATTTACTTCTCCACATTCCAGTTGGGCTTCATCTAAAGCTTTTTTTTCCATCTGTTACAAAGTTACAAAGTACACCAGTCAGTCTTTTTCTCTAACTAATGACTTCTGTCTTTCCAAAATCTAGCGAGTATGGGTTGACAGACAAAATTATCATCATTTGCACGGGTGTATAAGCAAGTGGCTGTTAACGCATTTTGAAGAAAAAGTATGAAATATTAACTTTTTTTTTATATTAAATACTGTGCTTGTCTTTATAAGTGTTAAAAAAAAAAAGTATAAGAGGAATGGAAATCAGTTGTGTCAGTTTTCATTATATTTATAATGTCTTTCTCTCCACAATTACTAAGGGTTGCTGAGATGTGTTTACACTGCTCAGACTAACAAGTTGCTGCAGGAGTCAAGACAGTAAATATGCTGCTTGACATCTTTTAGAAAATAAACAGAAAAAGCCATCCATCATCTGTTTTCAGCTTCACATTCTGTCAAAATGAAAGAGCAAGACAGGGTCTGCAAATAATGGATGCTTTCTCAAGTACACCCTATCAGTGAGTCACACATGTACCAAGAAGATATTGTTAAACGAGCTAAGTTAACTGACTAAAAACTATTGAAATGAAAAGGTGAGTGCTTTATGGATGGATGGAGATCAAGGCAAGAAGGGACTGTCAGATCTTCTGCTTGGAGCTCCTGTTTTATACAGGTCAAAGAACTTCTCCCAGTACCTCCTTTACTGGACCCAAAACCATCAGCTTGTCTAACACCTAACTTATACTTGCTTTCCAGAAAAGACTGTATCTTTGCAGACAAATGTGAAACTCATTTCTTTGCTTGTTCTCCAACCCCTGCACATAACCACCATCACTATTAAATGCATGTGTTCAATTTCTCATGAGCATTTTTCTGGCCTTTGGCCCTTTGGTCTTCTATGCTTTACTCTACCAAGTGAAGGGATACTTCCCTTCCTGTTTGTTTTTTCTTCTGTGAAGGCATTCTGTGCTCTGAAATAAGTCAATTTTCTTTAAGGATCGAAACTGACAAGACTCCTTCAACTATACCCTTTCATCAGCCTTAAAAATATTTTTATCTCTGTGTTATAACAGATTGTACAGTGCTGACTAGAGGATGACTCAAATACTGAACTCGGCCAGATGTCCTCACAACCTCACACATGCTGCCCTGTTCTGCCACATCTAGATACTGGGATGTCCTGAAAACCTGCTTGTCTGCTTTTACCCAAATCCACTGCAGAGTGAATGTTTACCAGAAACAATATTCGGTATGTCACGCATTCCTCTATAGGCTAGGGTTTAAGCTTACCATAAGCTTACCAAACAGCAACATTTTGCTGTCATTAATTTCCACAGGACTTTTGCGTCATCTGTACAAACTTAAGCAAAGATTTTACATCTCTCCCCAACCAAGGATGAAAATATGAAATATCCAGAGTAACTAACTTCCTAGAACTCTGATGATATGGCAGTAACGTCTACTTTCTGAGGTCTCTCAATTAACCTCTTCTTAATGCCTACTTAAGCGAATTTGGTGAGTGCTATTACTTTTGTAAATGACTGTTAGAAGTTAGTAAATTTTATGCCTTATAAAACTTCATCCATTCCAAGTGTTCTTCCTTAGCTGTTGAGCCAAGAGCCATGACAAATAATGTCTGAACAACTGAGCTGTACCAGCAGAACCGCTATGACACTGATCATCAGGATGGGAGCCAACTCTGTGTCAGTAGGGCGAGCTAATTCAGACTTTTCAATACTGCTTGTAACAAAAACAGTACAAATGTCAATAAACTGGAGCTAATATATGCTTCTAGACCTGAGCTGACTCCAGAGTTAATCTGCAACTGGGATAATCCATCTACAGATAATTTCAATGTGACCATGATGGATTTTCTTGCAAATTCTCACAAAATTAATTCTGCAGTGAAAAAGTAGAGCGGACATCTGGGAGGACAGGCTATATTCTT